CTTTTATTCTTGCAAGTTCATCTTAAAAAATACATATACTGTCGTTCGTTTTCTTGCTGTATCTTTGCTCCTATTAGTCGCAGCGTTTTTAGCTTTTAGCTTATAGCCCATAACCTTCCTCGATAAATGCTCTGACCAACACAAAAAGAATTTCGCAATTCGAACCAGTAGTTCCTGATATTAGAGCGTTCAAACAAAAAAAACTCTTCAACTTTATAGTATACATTTACTTAGCTACCATTTACATTTCGTCCATATTTGCCTAATTATGTATTACGTTATTTGTTATTATTTATTCTTTAAACGAATATAATCCTTTAGTACCTAGATGAAGCACGCGCCAAACTTTATTTAACGAGCACTACACGAGATTAGTTTACAGCCCGCACAATAAGCAATTAAATATTTTTTTTAATTATACAAAAAAAATCATAATGGAAACTGCAAGACGCGTGCGCGGCACGTGCCGCCCGAGGAAAGCTTTCAAAGAAATTTGTATATTTAACCGACGACAACAATCTAAAAGGAAAGATTATGGTTTTGTTTGACTCTGTATATACTCTTAATATGTATTTCGTCTCCTGAGAATCTATTTTTGAATAACAGTTTTATATAATAAAGTACTGACTGTAGTTAAATAATACTAATGTAGGTTAATAACACTTTAATAATAACAATTTAAAAAGCTTAATATATTTGTTTACTTTATCGACGGCCTGATACAGATTCCTAATGTACGACGACAAGACGAATATCGCTAGCGTATTAGATTTGTATGTATTTTATTGCATTTATTTTGCATATTATTGTATGTATAAGATATACACTATCCATACGTCGGGTTGCAGTTAAAATATTTTTTAATAAATAAATGTAACTAAAATATTTCGCGTTTAACCGTTAAAGCGTTTTATTGAAATGTGTACTACTCGCGTTAACAGCAGACAGTATTTATACGACGCTGTTGACCGTTCGTTCTTAAGTTTCATTTAATGTCGATGTAGTATCAAATTTAATTTGTAGTCTAATAAGTAAAATCACATATTCAATATGTTTTGCTGAAATGTATAGAAATGATTTAGATAAAGCTGCGACATCAGCCAGCTTTCTGAACAACCAGAGAAAGATGGAATTATGAAAAAAAATGTCGTTTACTAGTCCATTTTGATGCCAGAACAAAACTTGTTCGTCTGTCTGTAAACGAATATTTATCATCAACAACCAAACAACAATTTTCTGAAACGGCAAAAATCGTTAGAATGACATTTAAATAACAATATTTAATAATTACAACTCTTCCCTGTAAGCGTCATATGTCGATTTCGATGATCGATTATAAATGATTCCCGTATTCTAATCAATTTAAAAATCATCGCATCTGTTGATTATTATTTTGAATTACAAATCGAATTTGTAAAACTATTGAAATATTACGATATAAAGTTCCAGTAAGTACAAACAATTTCAGTCCTATCTTCAATTTTATATCTATATTGAAAAATGTGTATAGTTTTTATAAAAAAAAGTCTATCCACCTTGCCACTATTATATAATTAAATAAATAAAGACAAACATTGAAAATGTATGTTAGAAAAATGTCGTATTATATTTTTTCCGTAATAAAGATAACAACAAATCAATTTGGTAACGATCAATGACAATTCGGTTATCGTTTGTCCCCTTGAACGCATTTGAATTATGTGCACAAACATTTTGAATATACCTTCATTATTTTCATATTTTATGCGTTATTGATAAGTATAGAGATGACCGCTTTTGATCTGCGTGTAGTTGATGAATTACTTTGATACTTTATGCAATATCACAATGAATTTTGTGATTAACTTCTCTTAACAATCTTACTTTATTTTTAAAGTTTTTAGCATTTTATTAGATGATTTGAATGTTTTACCTCGTTCTGTCTTTTTAGGTTAGTAAAAATTATAATTATAATCAATATACTTAGGAAGCAATTAATGTGTATTTTAGTAATAGAGGTTTTTGTCAATCAAATTAATTTTAAATAAAAGTAAGAGCACAATATGTAGTGTTTAAACAAGCGGTTCCGGCTAATTTAACAAGCGGTTCACATGACTTATACTATGAATTTCATCAGAAAATTTTAAAGTACCAATACTATTCCATCCCGTTACACACCACAATTATTGTAATAATAAACTATTGCGTGTAAGCATTTGACCACATGAACATACCGTTTTATAGCGTAACAATTAAAATCCCCTACCCTCTTCTTATTGCGAAGCTGTAAAGTCTATTGTTATGTGGCACACCACTATAATTTAATAGAGTGACCGGCGACTGACCACTATCCAATGGTCAAAGAAAATATTGACAAGTGCATTATTCAATTATACACTTACTATAGTCGAATAAAAATTGAGTAGAGAGTATTTGTTTAAGAGATGCCTCGATTTTTATTATGAAATTAATATAGGCAGGCAAAATAAATTTGCTTCGCTATACTGCGATATTTTTATAACAAAAACTTGTTCAACATTAATTTTATAAATTGTGTAAGGCTTTCACGGCTATCGTGCAGCATATCATTGTCTTTTGGGCTGTTCGGCCGATGTGAGCGAGAAAAGCAATCGAGGAGCTAACATCTCCTGATGACGCCGTCCACACATGATGGCGAAACGTCGAGAACCTCTTCTCGCTGACATCGGCCGAACAGCCCGAAAGACGATGATATGCATTAATTTTATAGTCAGTTTGTACCCATATAGTATAGTAGACATAGAAACATTAGTGTTTTTCACTTAATTCAAATTCTAAATTGTATTAAAATAAATCCTTCAAGAATTTCACACTGATAATACCTATATCTATACATATTATGCGTTCTTTATTTGTAAACGTCTAACAAACATTTTTTTCATATAAACAAAAAGTAAACTAGAATAATTCCAATAATTTCAACTGCAATCCTGCGCTAAACTATAATGAAATATCCATAACTGTAGCAATAAATATCGCAGATGTAACCAAATAATAAATTAAAAATTAGCAATAACCGGACAATTGTTCGAAATTTACAACAGGCAACATTCAGTGGTAATTGAATTTTCAACTTACAATTTGAATAGGGGCTGATTATTGCATTTTGCAATTAAATATGGTTCAGATAAGATGGAGAGAAACGATATTAGCTCAATATATCAAAGAACTAATTTAAAAAAATATATATAAACCAAATTTGGCTAAACTACTTCATAAATAAATAAAACTTAGTATTACTAATGGTGATTAATAAATAATGAATTAATTAATCTTTGGTTTTGTATACAATTTGATTGTTAACAGGCGTGATGTCGAATTTAAATAATTTTAATTGTGACAAACATTAATATTATTTCATTTGAGAGTGAATGACGAACCACGGACGGCCGGAACGAATCGCACAGATTTGGATACAAAAGTCCAAATGCGAATTAAGTGCAAACAGCTGTTTCGTTTTATAAGGTCACGGTGAATTTTGTATCAACTTAATAATTGTTAAAAAGCTTTTATTTAATGAATTATATAAATGCAAGTAAGTAGTAGACATTGTCGGGGAAATCGCAACCATTCTTACGTTTAGTTTAAAAAGAAGTTTTATTATTAAAGTGACAGATTCCATACTTGTATTTCGTAAATTATAACTATGGAAGTATAAGAAACAGTTTATTAATTTGACTTTAAATACTGTCTATAGTTTACGCGTGTAGTACACATTTAAATAAAACACTTTAACGGTTTAAAACGCGATATATTAGTTAAGTTAGTCTCCCCGTGACCACGGCTGCTGCAAAGCATCGAAAACGTCGGGCTGAAGTTAAAAATAATTTTCTAATAAGTTTAACGAATATATCGCGTTTTAAACCGTTAAAGTTTTTTATTTATATTAATTTGAAGTTATTAAAAAAGGACAAAGACTTTTAATTATAAGGGTATAAAACCTTCAAGCAATTTTTATTTAACCATTAAGCTGGCTTCTGATTGCGAAATAACTAAACAACGATTCTTGTATTATTTTATCGAATCTGATATTTTATCGATATCAGTATTTTAGGATCTATAATTGTTAGAAGCTACCGTAAACCTGAGAGCACTCTATCCGTTGTTTTTAGAATCAATTTCAACGACACCATTGAGCAAAGATTACTCATGAGTCCCTAGCAGCAAAATTAAGTAGTTGTCTAAGAACGACACTTTCACTTCAGTTAAAGTCAAGTTGCGATCCTCAATATTGTACTGACATAGTAGAAAATGAAAATTTATTTAATAAAACATTCCATTTGTCCTGTTATTTATCTTTTAATATATTCTGTAGATTTCACTCTGTGATTATAAGCTGTGGCTAATAGTTATTTGGCAAACGGCAACATTACTTAAACTTTTGACATTTAACGGAAATGGAGAGCGCGTAAATAAGGAATTTTTATTGATTGAAAATTTGGTAGTCTGTGATTAAATACTTTTAAAAATATTTCATTCGCTTAACAAGCAAAGCGAACAAATTTAATTTAGCTGAGATTGGAATAAGTGTATAACTAAAAATTGCAATATCGATGTCTACACAATCTAAAACAATGCCGTTAATTGATCTTAAAGTATATATACGCGTAGTTGCCGCAGTGTTTTCGGTAAATATTTTTCATAAATACCTTCACTAATCAAAAATATACTAAAATATTTTAACATAAGAAACAGTACACGAAGAAACTGCAACTGGCGCTATTCCTATTGGAAATAAAAATTATTAATAATGCATAAAACATAATATATTTCTGGTTATTTAAATACTGTCCGTTGTGTATGCGTGTTGTATGCATTTAAATAAAACACTTAAATGGTTTAAAACGCGATATATAGTAGTTCAAAAAACATTTTAAATAAGTTTAACTAATATATATCGCGTTTAAAACTGTTAAAGTGTTTTATTTAGACATATATTCCTGTCGTAATTTTTCCAGATATCATCGGCAACAGCGTTTGTTATGGTGCTTCTAAGATTACTTAATCCAGAACTGTATTATTCAGATGGTCTTAACAATACAAATGTTGGTAGGTATATATTGCAATACAGCATTGCTATCCAAAATACTTATTCATAAATGTAAATGTGTATTTACGGTTCCACCAGCAGGACAATTAATGTTCGCGCCGTTTGGTCACAGCAAAGTTATGGACTACAGGAGTATAAGTTTTATAAATTTCCTTATTGTAGCAAACCCACTCACCGTTTATTCTCTCTACCATTAATAAGCTGACATTTTAGACTTATACAAATAATATTACAATGCAGTTAACTTCCTTGTAGAACTGCATGCCATTGCAATAACAGCAAATGATGCTCTAAGCACCTATACATGCGCCAGATCCATATTTCATATTCATGTTAATTATATCTTTACAGTTTTTCTAACACCACAGTTTTGACTCCTCCACATTAGTAGGTAGCTCTCATCTGAACATGATTAAACTTTGAAACTAATCAAATTATATATCTTTCAGCTATACACTACTTTGTTAGTGGTTTAATGGTGGTGACAAGTGCTATCGGATTTCTTAATAGTCTGTTAGTTATGAACCGCAGTGCAAGCCAAAATACAGGTCGTAACATAACAATCTGGCTTCTACTTGATTCCCTGTTTGAGACTTCTCGTGTAATATATGTGTTCCTTTGTGAGATCATATTGAGGGGAAAAGGACCACTTCAGTTTTATGAGTTACTGATTAGCATCATACAGTATTGTAAGTAGCTAAAATAATAATTAATCATTAAATAACACTTACTTATAGAGTGGGTTAAGGATAAGATGTGACAGGCTTCTTGTTCATTTGAAAGCCATGTATAGCTAATTGGTTACGGGTTCAACTCCCACTCGCTTGAGCATGTATTAACAACATTTAATAGAACAGGACATTTAAAGGTACACCACAATATAATCTGGCTCCCATGACATGAAAATCTGCCCATGACATGAAATTTGTTTTTGATTTACTAATTTGATTTCCTTATACAAAATAAGTTGACGACACATCTTATCTGGGTTTTAATGGCTGATGCATTTCACATACATAAACTCAAAACTTGTTTTTTTTTTAATTTTATATTTTTAGTGATACCATTATATTTATTGACAATATTACTTCTTTCCAGTACTGGACAGCTTTCTCTACTGTCAAATGATACTCAGGCACTAGTATTAGTTGTTTCTTTTTATTTCTGATTTTTAATTGTTGATGTTTATGGGTAGAGATGTGGGTTGTAACTTCAATTTATATAGTTTCTGTATATAGGAATTGTTAACTGTGTTTTGTTTAAGTCTATAGTATGGTGGATTGTATTTCTTATGCACATCTTAAATGACAATATTTCAATATCCTGCCAAGATTAAGCCATAATATTAAATAGAAGATAATTCTCTTAGTTAACCCCAGATCTGCCCATTTAGAATTTTAGCCACATTGGACATTCCTACTCTGTAAAACATGAGACTTTTAAAATGATCTCTTAATAGTTTGTATGTAATACTGCAAATAAGTATTATAAAGTGATATTACTTAGTGTTAGACACTTCTTATAACTAGTTCTTACATTTAAACAAGGTATAGTTTAATGGATAATGTCTACCAAAAGTGTTATATTTTTATAATTTATGGAAAATAGTTCAAAATTTACATGTTCATTTCTTCCTATATAATTTGATCTCTAAAAATAATCTCGCCATTTTAGAGTAGACTTTTATTTATGTACAAATGAAATTAATGAATTTATTATTAAGTCTTTTTTAATGTAAAACCTTTTGGTTTAAGGCCAGGTAATTTAGATGTTTAGTGCTCATTCCTTAATATCGTGTGCTTATTGTAAGCAAGAAATTAACGCATTTATTCTAAAATACAATATCAATATAATCAAGTTACAAAGTAAAATGATCTGTTAATATTTTAATGGAATCTCTTTTAACATTCTAATTATAAACCTCTGCGCTATTGGATCCTATCTGTATATAAAACATTAATTGCTGGGCAATAAAAACTTAATTTAGATTACCCTGGCCTTAAAGTATGTATTATTTATTACTATGACTGGTCCAATTGTATTTAATGTAAAATTGGAGTGTATTTTAAAGGTACCTGTTAAACTAGTTTATGTAGTAAGGCTTAGTTGTTATTTTATTTGATTATTGTTTTGTTAATAAATTAATTTAATTGCGGTCTAGCGTGATACCAAATATTATTAATTCTATATTTGAACAAGTCTCCAGAATTACATGATATAACAATTGCTTGGACCAACCAATGCATACTGGGTAGGGCAAGTGTCAGAAAACCTTTTTCACCTGCCATCAAGTGAATGTGTCTGCCCCCTCCTATTTTAATAAATTTGTGGGTCCGCTTACTACCTCGGACATGCTCTTGGTAAACTAATCAAAATTAAAACAAAAGACGAGTGGTGGTTGGTCAGTGTATTTTATGTAATATGGTCTGTGAGCGTTCTTTAAAACCGATGCCTATTATTACTATGGTTCTATTTTATCCAATGATGATATTAAAATAATTTTAAAGTAAATAAAAGACCAAAGTTTTATTATTTTCTTTAATCAGGGACTGGTTCATCCAAAAATATACTGCATTAACACTCAACAGTTGAACTCTTGTTGTGTATTATAACTTCAATTTAAGAAAATAACACATTCTATGTCTTATTGTACAACCTCTATATTTGCACTTAATTTTAGGGAAAACAAAATGAGGTTTCTCCATAAATAAGCCAACTTTATGATTAAATGAAAATTACAAATTTAGAAATTCATTTTTCAAATGTAGAACAACTTTTTTTTTTTTTTAATAATAGCATCCCTTTATTAATTGATGGTGATAGAAAAACTAAACTGTAGTCTAAAGATTAGCAGCATGGTTATTCAGGAAGGTGCAGGTTGTAAGTTTTAAAGCAAACCCTTGCTTACTTACATTTTTGTTTATAAATAAATGTAAAGTGGACAAAGCCAATCAAATTGTATAGGATGTGTTATTTTTCACAGAACCGAGTGCAACCAAATAATTCATACGAAAACAGATTAAATGAAAATGAGCTTTCAGCAATTTTTATACATTTATTTACCCTGTATAAATTTATAGAAAAAATATTTCCATTATAGGCCAATGTTTATGACAATGGGGTACAAAAACTTTGAATTTCATTTCGCTAAACGTTCACCGAACATAGAAAATTAAGTTCTTAGGCGTATTTATCGTTACTACCTCGCTAATGGCACTAAAACGAAAATGCTTCAGCTTATAAGTCAAAATTTCCTCAAAAATTATCTCGTCACGCTCAAAGTATGAAAATACTATGAATTCATAATGGCACTTTTAATTAATTTTTAATCTAAATACTTGAACATTTTTTCAAGTATCAAATGGCGCTTTGTATCGAAAGTGAACGTATTTGTATGCTGTTAAAACATAAGTATACAACTATTGTTTCGTGTACTTAAGCGTACTGTCAAAAAAAATACTGTAATTATCAGTACAAGTCATACATAAACAAACGAACTATATCTATACAAGGCGATTGCAGTATATTTTATATTGCTAATAATAATTATAATTAATCTGTGACCTACAGCAAGTCATTGTGTCAACTGCACAATATAAAAATTTACTTTCACAATAAATTCTGAATCTCACAACCCGCTACTGAAGTCATATACAATGAATATAATTGATAATATACACATAATATGTTTTATAAGTTAACGGCAACAAAGCAAGAGCGGATCTTAAGTCAGTCTTGAATTTTCAACAAAATTGTATCAAATCGATACGAGAGCCATCTCTTGACAAGATCTAGCTCTAAGGACCCACCAAAGACGTTTGAAGCCGCTCTTGCAACAATCTACCTCATTGCTTAAAAGAACTAACGTGCATTTCTTTCAAAAGAAATGAAATATACGTTGACTTAGCAGGAGTTTATTCAGTCCAGGTTTTCTCAATTACATACAACTGTTGCCTCTAGCCTATAAACACTCATTTGCAAGACATCGTTGAGATCCAAATAAAAGGAACTAATAAGTAACAGACGAACAAACAAAAATAAATCATCGACAACATGGCTCGCTTGAGTCCCGATTGATTTTATCCCACTCTGTTCAAGACACATGTTAAAAGAGAGTGAGAACCGAATCAAACAGAATTAGCAAATTAAATAAGATCTAAAATATTGTCATGTATTTATAATATACTACAAAATCTTATATTTTCTTTTCTTCCGCATGACGACTCCGAATCAAACTAGAAAATAGAAAATCGAATTGATTTTCCTCTCTACGTTATAACTATAAGTGGACAATGGGTTCTAGCACCTTATATTTTATAAGTGAGGATACAAGTGAGAAGACATGACTACTAGCGGCTGAAGGGAATATCTAAAAGTACACAAGAATAAATTTCTCATTTTCGTTGTAAGAATTTCTAAGTTCTTTTTCTTGTTCCACATCATTTCAAATACCTCTTCAAACATAAAACCTTAGCCATTTGCGGATAAAGTTCGCTACAAAGATATGTTTCAGCGTTCTTAAAATTCAAAATCTACTCTAACATAACAACTTACTCTATCAATAATTAATACTACTGAAATCTCGTTTACTGTTTGAGACGAAAAATGCATATGGCCGTAAAAATCTCGAAAATTTGGCCGTAATTTGTAATAAATTTGGAAAGGTACGTATTAGGAACGAAGGCGCTCACTCCGTTGTTTGGCACCTTTGCGTCAAAAGCATAATACCTTATAGTACAGTTAATGCATAAAAAAAAATTGATTTCAGATTCGCATTATAAAAATCCCAACAACTAATAAGCTTCTCCTTATTAAGTTAACCTAAGTTCTATTTCCATAGATTTTAAAAATTTGAACCAGCGGGTTAAGAACACCAGATTTGTGACGTGGGCAAAACTTTTATTTAATTCTCATAAAGATAAAAAAAAAACTAGTATTAGCGCGCTGAACCCGCTGATAAATTGGTCTATCGACGATGTACCGGACAGGCTTGGTTTGAACGCGTCTGGTTGTATGGTAGGGGCGATGTGGGCGGGGCTAGCGAACACGAGTATGCGTGCGAGCGGGCTAGAAGTTCTGCTGGCGCTTGCGTTTGAGCGAGATAGCATCTAGGATTGGGCGTCGCTTGCGCTCGTAGAGCGCATGCAGCCGCTCGATTTCGGCCTCCATCTCCACGTCCAGCCGTGCTTGGAGCGCCTCCAGCTCGCATTCCGACAGGTATGATAGCTGGGCAACGCCAACAAGCGGGTTATCATAGAGTATACGCGATCATTGAAATAGCAGTGGTGGTACATAGTGATAACAAGAATAAATGTCACTTATTACATTGAAAGATAAAGTGCGCACATTATTGACAAAGATACTTTTTACCGAGGCAACAATTTTAACGATATTTAAATAAAACACTCTACGTACGATTTAAAACGCGAAATAAAAAAGTTAAACTTATTTAAAAATTATTTCACTAATACCGCATACTGGCAAACACGAAGACACCATTAGTCAATTCTGCCAAATACCAACTACGGCGGCGCCAGCGTAGCTGTTTTTAATTTGACATTAGAGACAGCTTCCATCTTTAGTCTATCCATGACCGCGGCTGCTGCAAAGCATCCATAACAGCGGGCCGTATTTAAAATTAAATTTCAAATTATATTTTGCGTTTTAAACCGTTATAGTATTTAATTTAAATGTGTATTACTCGCGTAAACTACAGACAGTATTATAAACTATTCCTAGGAACTGTTATCAACGTTTAATTAATAATTGAAAATACAATGTAATAAGCCACGTTAAGGGATAGAACTAGCTAATTTAATTTGAATGATCGATTAATTGTATTAATAATGTTACGAACGCCCCGCAAGACACACAGTTAGTTTGGAATACACAATTTGTTAACTGAAAACAGTGTAAAAATTAGTAGGATTCAAAAACGCCACAATTATTCAAAACTCATTTTCTAATCGGTTTTCTTTTGTTTATAACATAAGGGTGTGTTTATACAAGAGGAAACGATCCCTTATTAAAATGTATGTGTGAACTCACGGGACGGGCGCAGAGGCAAGAGAGAGACGACGTGGAGTTGACTTACGAATTCGAAGTTGCCAGATTCGATCAGCGCGCCCACACTTGCCGCACCGCATACCTCAGCTACTTGTGTACTGAAATATTACAATAAAGGTTAAAAAAATAATCTGAAATTATCTATTGCTTACGCAAAAAAAGTCTACACTATAGACATACAACACTAGCTGTTATTTAAATAAAACACTTTAACGGTTTAAAACGCGATGTATTAGTTAAACTTATTTGAAAATGATTTTTAACTTCGACCCGATCCTATTAGTCATAGCGCAATGTTTTATAGCGAATAGGTTGCGTCATAAATGCTATAACCAACAAAAAGTTTTTGAACGTTCTCACATACATATTAGTATAGATTAAAGAAAACGTCCCATATATATATCTTTAGGCCTTTAACAGCTCCCACGTGTATCACAGTTTCTTTTTTATATTTCATACCGACCTTATAGGATCGCTGTCAGGCATTCTCAAGTGTGAAGTGAGTGTCCCGTTCGCTGTAGTACCAATGTTAAGATGATTCACTTCCTTCTTCTCGAAATGCTCTAGGAACAATGGCCGATATTTCGGTTTGTTCGTGTCCATTGGGTCTGTGTCGTGGCCTAGAATGAGATAGCTATTGTTATTGTACTATTTCAAAACTGCAGTGGCTCAGTCAACAAGAGGCCCTGTATTCACAGCCGGACAGGTCACAGAACTCGACAATTTTGTTCATTTTATAAAACTGATTAGTAAAACAGACTTACAAATATGTCTATTTAGGAGAAACAGGATAAAATACCTTCTAAAGACACAATAAGCTCCTTGCAAACTGTCATTTCCAATATTTTGAAAGTAGTCTAATATAAAGGTTAATTTTTTAGATTAGATAATGTAGGCGTAACTTTGTGAATTTCTAAATATTCAAAGCCAAAATGGGTAGACAGCACATCTTATTGACATGTTAAATTTGCCTTGCCTTTTTATGATAGAGAAGGACAGACAATGTCCTTCTCTATCATAAAAGGCAATGTATTCAATACAAGGTTATGATTTTGCATTGAACTCCTTTTTTTCTGATCTAAGACAAATTATTATACATTTATAAACATATAAAAGACCAAAAACATATTTGGGACTCAATTAACCTCCAGTATCCATATATATATGATTACAATTTAACTTACGTTTCATAGTAGCAAGATCTTGTTCATTAATGACCATAGTAGCTAGACCTGCCGCGAGCTCGCCGGAGCCATCTCGCGCCGGGACCAAGGTACCACTCGCTTGTTTCATTGTGTCCGAATTGTATGAATCGTTGCCAACTTGACAGCCTCCGCCCTTGAGTAAAAAAGGAATAATAAGAAATCTGCCCGGGCCCATGTGTGCAAACAGTAAGCTTCTTAATTGAATATTGACAATATCCACCATCCACGTTGTAAGTGTGAGAGTCCATATACCTCACAAGAGGCGTGGGAAATATGTTTCTGTGGCAAGTGGTGCAAGTAGCGGATTTGGCCTCCTGACTAAAAGTTAGTACTTCCCGGCCTAATACTAGTGTTATTCACTCACAATCATTCCCCCCCCCCAAACCCCAACCCCCTCGCACTTACGCAATGTGTTCAACCATCCTATTTCAATAGTGGTGAGACTAACGCATAATGAAATGGCGTTTCCCGAGGGGAACGGGTAAATTTATTGTTTCCCAAAGATTTGACAACATGGTCTCTCGCGCTAAACGCGATTCTAGGCAACACTTCTTCTTGTCAGTTTGGCTACTGAACCAGCCTTTAAGATGTTAGTATGTTGTAACCTTGCTTACCCAAATAAATTCTATATTTTTTTATTCAAATATAATATGTTGTGCGCTTTTAATTAAATACGTACAGCGGCAAACGCTTTCGCATTGCTGGCATTCATGGCGTTCCTGTACGCTTGACTCTCGCGGATTTCACCAGCTTCCGCTATCATTTGACTCAAGATATGCGGCTGCTTTGCGTTACCTGAAAATTACAAACAGTAAACTAAATAGAAAAAATATCAAAGGGTTTCTAGTTAGTAATCTTTGCTAATATATAAAGCTGAAGAGTTTGTTTGTTTGAATTGAAAAAGTGTTTTTATGTCGGTTGGACCATTTATTGAGGAAGGCTTTAGGCTATAAAACATCAGCCTGCGACCAATAGACGCGAGGAGACAGGAAAATATGGGGAAATCGGGGAATATTATGCATCTTTTGTACATTAAATAAATGATTTTTTTAAAAAACCCTTATTAAACGTAAGCTATCCATCTATACGGCCAATGTGATTGCGAACTGGTCTCTTTACTCCTCCTTAGTCGAGCAACGCGCAATTTTACAATTAAGAGGCCGTACAAATCGAAAACCCTTATATTTTTGAAAAATGGACGCAAAACCCTTCTAGTTGTATACTTATTCATCATACATAAAGGTATATTATAGTTTTGACAGAACATAATTTCAAGAAAAATATTATAATAAAGGGATAAAATTATTTTCTAATGAAGCTGAATAAATGCTAATTAACTATGCCCGCTTGTCTTTACTTACCTATAAACTCATGCGTCAATAAATATTCAGCGGTCGCTCTCTCTTCGGGATTCTTAACAAGGCACTGACTAACAAAATCTATGAACTCAGAAGACCATTGATCAGGCTCTCTGCGGAAAGATAATCGGATTTTGAAACAAAAAAATATAATACCAAATTATAAGCGCTTCGGTGACACATTAAATAATCGTTCCTTTAGACAGCTAATTTGATTTAAATGATACATTTTAACGGATTAAAATGCGAAATATATGAGTTGAGCTTATTAAAAATAAATTTAACTACGGCCCAACGTTCGAATGCTCTGCAGCAGCCGTGGTCACGGGGAGGCATATCTGCTAAACGTCTCCCATATATTTCGCGTTTTAAACCGTTCAAGTGTTTTATTTAAATATAAATTACTCACGCAAACTACATGTCTATAGTAATAGTATTAAGGTAATTTGACTAGGATCAAATGAATAATCAAATGATCACGCACTAGAAACCGGTATGTTATCTTAGACCAATTATTTTAATTATGTTATATACGATAAAAGTATTCGACCAATTTGACAATACAGAAGTTTCCTCAAATATAAATCTGCTCTGACCTGAAAGAAGGCGGTGGCTTGGTGGGTATCATGAATATCGCTCTCATGGGGTGAATGTCTCCATATGGCGGCTTCCCTTCAGCCATCTCCAACGCCGTGATTCCTAGAGACCAGATATCCGCAACGCAGTCGTACCCAATCTCTTGTATCACTTCAGGCGCCATCCAGAACGGTGTGCCTATAACCGTATTCCGTTTCGCCATTGTATCCTAGAAGGAAAAATAATTCAATACTACATGCGGAATGCTGATAAGTGGATTAGGTAGGGCCTGCGCTGATATCCCTGCATATATAAAAATCCAACGGTGTATAAACAACCATCGGGTTCACTAGATGGAATTTTATTTGGTGAACTAGACAGAATTTAAATAAAACACTTTAACGGTTTAAAACGCGATATATTAGTTAAACTTATTTAAAAATGATTTTTAACTTCGGCCCAACGTTTCGGATGCTTTGCAGCAGCCGTGGTCACGGGGAGTTTAACTAATATATCGCGTTTTAAACCGTTAAAGTGTTTTATTTAAATGTGTACTACTCGCGTAAACTATAGACAGTACTAGCACTACAGAATACCCACTAACCGTCAACTGTCCAGCCACACCAAAGTCAGCGAGCTTTGCATGTCCCTCCATGTTGAGAAGTATATTCCCCGCCTTTATGTCTCTGTGAATCTTTCTCCGCCTGTGCAAATACTCCAAACCCTTCAACGTATCGCATAGAATTGTCGCTATTTCGTCCTCCGATAGAGTCTTCTTTCTCAACCTCATTATGTCTGATACGGAACCCGCTCCGCAGTACTCCATAACAATCTGAAGTCAAAGTCAAAAATCATTTATTCATGTAGGTAACTATGTACCTACACTTATGTACACGTCACAAAATAATTATACAATCTAACTTTACATTTACTACCAGTTTTCAAATCAAGGGCGTAGAACGAACGAGAAGAACTGGCAATAAACTCGCCGTCACTCCTTTTATCACCAAGTTTCATTTTACATTCTTGATTTGCTTTTAGTACACTACATATTTTTCCTTGTAAGAGCGGGTTCCTCCACACCCCAAGCATTTTTATCATTTAAATATTGATTAACATGATAATAACCCTTTTCAAGCAGTTTTTGTTTTACATACGATTTAAACCTATTTATTGAGAGTACTTGCACTTCGCTGGGGATTTTATTAAAGTATCGTATGCAGTTACCTTGAAAAGAACTACTACGTTTATGGAGCCTTTTGTTTGGTACACTTATTTTGTCCTTATTACGCGTATTGTACTGATGAAAGCTGCCGTTTGTTTTAAAAGTATCTACGTTTTTCCTCACATACAAAACATTTTCATAGATATATTGACTTGTAAACGTTAGGATATTCAATGCTTTAAACTTATTTCGAACAGACTCTCGTGGGGAAAGACCACAAATCGATCGAATAGCCCGTTTCTGCTAAACAAATATGGTTTGAATATCGGCTGCATTGCCCCACAAAAGGATACCAAGAGAGAGATAATAATGTAATAAGACACATTTCTAAGAGACGAACAGCAAGGTTTTGCTGATGTGTTGCTGCTTAACGCAAGACCTTGTGGGAATAACTTCGCTTTTATATCTACATATTATTATATGATATTCTTCTATGATTACTATAATTTTAATTATACTAGTTTGAATGTTTATATCGCCCAAGATATTGACGTTATTGACTGACTGTAGTTACAAATATGATATTAAAACTACCAAAAATCAATCAACTCTCGAGACACATCTATAATTCAGATCGCCTTGAAACAACACTCGGAAACGTAAGGCCAGATATAGCTATAGTTCAAATAAATCGATTTATTACTTTTAAACATCGGTAAGATAACCTTTGACAAAATGAGCATACAACAAGATCTTTGTTGCTGGATATAGTACAAGTTTCTTGTATCTCTAGTTAACAAAGTACACAAGATTAAAATACGATAAAAACGATTTAGTATTTTATTTAACCGTCTTTTTTTATGATATGGGCCGAGAGACAAGCACGGGGTTGCACTTGATGAAAGACGAAATTACCCCAGCCGTATAATAACAAAACAAGATGCGCGGTCGTCCTATTTTGGCTTTGGATATTTGGAAAACACACAAAAACCGAAAAACCATTAAATTTTAAGATTTTTTATCTATAGACCGTGTTTCGTAGCCGGACGGCATGATATTCCTGCTAATCTTATAAAACCCAGATTTCCAGGCGAAGTCCATAATCCAAATGTTTCAAAAAATGTTCGGGCCCGATGAGGAATACACCATCAGCCCGTTGGTTATTAGCCATTCCGACCAATAATCCGCTAATAAATTAAGTTAAATTATGTTATACAGTTTTTTATACGGACGGGACTCGAACCCACGACCTCTTATCATCGAGATATGTTTATTACAGTGTTAGATGATTATAATACACACCCATAAGTCTGTGTTCTTAAAATAACTGCCATAATATTTAACTACGTAGGGGCTGTCGCACTGCTGCATAATCGAGATCTCCTTTATGATCTCCTGCAGGTCCGTGTCGACTGGCACCTGCTTGATCGCCAGGACTTGCTCACTCTCCTTGTGTAAGGCCTGAAAAATGTAGAGTATTGGAATAAATGGCAAAGCATAATTAGGACTTATTTATTTTAAAACAGGTAATATATTATTTAAATTATTTTAACTACACCATACTTGAAAGCAGTCTAGGTCTCGTGGGTCTCAGTAATATTTCTCGTTTTAAACAGTTCGAAGTGTTTTGTTTAATACTTAAGGATCAATTTCCTTTGATTTACATAAATTGCCTTATAAAACCAAGTTAGCAGAAACATGCAGTGAAATCCTACCCGGGTCATAAACACTGAAGAGAACATGGAACCGGTTTAATATTTAAGAGAAATTCTTCGAAGCATAACATGCAAGCTAAGGATTCCATTATTGAACCGAAGCAGAATCAATGATGATGCGAGTTTCATTATACATTAAAAAGTATTGATCACGCTGTTGGTTGTGGATTCGAATCTTATGCGTCATTTAATTTTTCAATCTAAATTCCTCAAATATTTTAAGCGCTGTTCGTAGTTTACGCGAGTAATATACACTTAAATAAAACATTTTTAACGGTTTAAAACGAAAAATATATACTTAAATCGTATAAAAAATATATATTTCGTTTTAAACCGTAAGTGTTTATTTTAAATCTAAAATACTTTTTCAATTATTATAAGCTCCTAGTCATATTCACAGGCTGCATGTACCGATAATCTCCAAAAGTGGTGTAGAATACAAAAAAATGGCTTAAGCTCAGCTTAACAGAACTTATACACAATCACTATTGCATTAGGACGAATTCGGTCGTGATTGATGTAGATATTATAGAAAGTATATGTGTAATAAAGCCATTTGCAAAATTGTTGCAAAAGTCATTTAAAATGTTTTCATACCTTATAGACACTTCCATAGGAACCTTCTCCAAGCTTACAAATGATATCAAACACCTCTTCAGGTTGCCGCGTGAGACTCTCCTCGGATAACTTCTTTAACTCACTGAAATTAATAATAATCAAAGTTTAACAACAACAGTAAATGAATAAATTATAAGGATAAAAGATAATCTACTTAAACCTAACGAAAGTAACTACCTAGATGCCAAAATATAAAGATCGTGAAAGCAACACTGATCGCTCGTAATTCTAAATTCTATGTTACAAGTCAGTTTATCGTATGCCTACACAATGCTTATATATTGTGCAAATTATTATAACTCCTATTTATTTCTTATATATATGAGTTCTTAAAAACAAACGACTATCAGGATATCCAAAGCCAAAAAGCACATCGTGTTTAGATGTTTTATGGTTGGGGTCCATCCCCCCTTTATATTAAAAAAAAACCCTATTCAGCATTTGGTATTGGGTAGAATATTTAAATTGTACAGATTGTTAGTAAAATTTGTATAACACTTATTCATATATACACAATTCAATATTATACACAGGAAAAAAAGTATAACCTAATCAAATTGGTGATGAAAAAATCTAAGACAATTTTACTGTGTTCGTTTTACTAAAAAAAAAATGAAAAAATACGTAAGCATACGGTAGCCAAAACAGTAAGGAACTAAAGAATACGTTTACCCTAACCATTAGAATAAAATTAATTAAGAGGATTTAGCGTATAATTTTAATTTGAAATATTTTGAGTCATATATAAATGTGTAGTTTAATATGTGGTAAATAAGTACTATCCCGTAATGCTGGATTCTTGCAATATGACGCATTATATGTATTCGTCGTTCAAAGAACCTTTTCCTCGTACAGTAATATAATATCCGGGTTCATGTGAAAAATATTTAACTTTTCAATCGAATTCCACATTCTTACGATGTGCGTGAGAAAATTAAGGCATTTTTTCTCATAACTTGTAATGTAGTCTACATACACCAACGGTGATATTTTATATTTTATTTACACACGACAAGACAGGCCACTTCAAAACACAACTGCTTAAAATAATTTGACCACGAATGCGAGATTGCAAGAAGAAAGTCATTTGTCAGTGATGATGCACGTAAGAGGTTACTAGCTGCGCCAGCGACTTCGTTCGCGTAGAACAGTTGTTTTGGGCATCAAAATTTCTTCCTGCAAACCTCATCTTCATCTTTATAAAATGTAGCTGATACCCACGACGCCATCCGCGACCCGTCGCGTCGTTATTGCGAGTTTAATCTTAATAAATCGACATAAACATTGTTTTATAAATCGATTTCGCAACGCACGCAACAGATACACTCAAAGATGAATAAGTTTGCCAGGTCAGGTAATATCAATGACCTCCTCAGTAGCCAGACTCGATTACAGAAAGTAAAACTTCCATTTTAAAATAGACAATCTTTACAACCGTTTCGGATTGATATTGATAAAGCTCGATTTTATAAGGTCAAAGGGGATGCTATCGGCTTGCCTTGCGGTACTTATCGGGGTTTATGTCCACCTCACGCCGTTTCATGTGAAGTAATAAGTCAATGACCCCCGTGAGTCATATTTTACGTAACGTTGACAATGTTTCGGGGGAACGTTTTCAGTCTTTAGAGTCATTAAAATACAATGATTTGCAGTACGACACAATTTTAAGTCTCATATGTTTTTTTTTAGTTTTGATAAGTGAAGACCCAGCAATAAAATATCTAAATAAAATCCGCTGTCGTCTTATTTTGGCATTGGATACTCGGATATTCACAGACTAAAACCTGACTTAAATCTTCACGGCTTTTAATCTGTGGGTGGTTAATGACCTGGACGGAATATCTATATTCCTACCACCCACTTAATATCCAGATTTCCAGAAGAAATCCAACGTGTTTCGGAAAATGTATAAATTGATTAGAAAAACCGGCGAGAATCGAACCTATGACGCATCGATTATTATTGTACATTGTTAAGAAATTGATCACTCGCTGTACGTGATAAATTAAATGTATATTGCAAGAAACCAATGTTAGTAATTACAAGATTGTTCTCATTAGCTGCGGTTAAACAAACAGTCAATACAAATTGTACTCTACTCTACTCATGACCTGTATCTATTACTAAGACAAAACTAGCATTGTGTTTAAGAAAAGCTAGACTACGAGCGAGTGGTATATTTTATATATAAACCATTATCTTAAAATAATTTTCCGAGATTCAAACTTAGTACCTCCAGCACTTAATGCTCAGGATAAGCGTTGTTTTTAACCCTCGAACCAAAGAGGCTTAATTACAGTAGATAAAGTTGTGAGCTGGTCTCTCTAATAATAATTACAAAATTGTTTGAGCTTCTGACATATTTCTACTATGCCTACTACTTCTATACAATGGCATATGTATAAAACAAATTAATGTCTGTCTATAGTTTATGCGAGTAGTACACATTTAAATAAACCACTTTAACGGTTTAAAACGCGATATATAGCAGCCGTGGTCGCGGGGAGACGGCTGCTGCAAAGCATCCGAAACGTCGGGACGAAGTTAAAAATCATTTTTCAAATAAGTTTAACTAATATATCGCGTTTTAAACCGTTAAAGTGTTTTATTTAAAATAATGTCTATGAGTAAGTGGAAATCGGTTTATCCTTATCGGTCGATAAGGGTTTTAAACTAGGTAAATATTTATTTTATTATTTAGCTAGCGAAACATCCCTCAGTAAGCTAAAATACGATAGATTTCAACAATAGCAGAGCTTGTCGTTAAAATAGCAAGTTCGAGACACGTGTGCCACACATCTGTAGCCGAGAAATGCGCCGGCGCATTTTAGTTTCTTTATATAGTCATACTGTGATACATTCTTGAGATTACAGAAGCGGGAGAGATATCTAAATAGAACTGCTATGTATGCTAGTATTATTGTACCTAGTAGACAAGCTATTGTCCGTGTCTTCGCTCATTAAAAGGTTTAAAATGGGGCGCAGGATACAAGGCGCCGAAAAGAGTAAAAAAGGGCGTTGTTTTTTGGACTTTTATAGCTTTGTAGTTACTCTTTCTAACTAAACATGTGCCATATCCAAGACGGTACGATCCCTTAACTACGGTAGCAAAGGACAAACAAACTATGGATAACTATGTTGTTGTGTGTGGTTTTTATGGTATATACTATATACATCTATGGTATACAGTCTTATACAGTGTTTATACGATGGTTATACAATGATTAATAACATGAAAATATATATGAACCGATTTCCTCACGGTATTGAACCGTTTACCGATGTCGTGAATTATAACAAATTGTTACATTAGCACGTCAATATACTGACCAGCAATAAGTTTATAAGGTATAAATATATAAATCAAAATAGTCAATTAAAGACATACAAACTCAATCGCATGAAAGGCGTCCATTTTGACGCAATGCAGCACATCATATGTATAAATTAACTAAAATTCGTGTTAACCATATAGTAATAGAATCCAGAAAATAAAGTAAATATGTCACAGATTTTTCGATCTCAGAGTATAATAATTAATTCAAAATACAAATTAGATCAACTTTTTAGCGTTTAGTCTCGGCAATAATTTTACGTACACTTGAATGCCAAGGTTAATAAAAAACAGATGAAAATTGTTTCCTCTCGGTCCTTCTGACTCATTTAAATATTGTGGTATTGTTAGCATACAATTATTAATACATACAGTACGTATAGCTTCTACTTAGGGTATATACAAAAATGCATTTTCTTTAATTTATAATACCACCAAGTCATAAAAAAAATCAAAACAAGAAAGGAAAATACAAATAAATTATATTTGTTTTGTGAAATGAAGAATAACTAAATTTATGGAGAAGTAAACGGTTTAATTATAGATACTTACATGTTATATACGCCAAATTGTCTTTGAATTTAGGTTATTAAAAAATATCTTAATTGGGGCTCATCTACACTTTTATGAAACTACTGTCAACAAAAACACGCTAAAAATAAAATTAACAACTCACTCACTCAGCTAACATTATAATTCGATTTAATTGTGTAATTAAAAACTCATTTCGTTAGAATGAAGCAAACGTTATGGTGTCTTTACCCTTGAGGTCGTTCTTGAGTACCCTTGAGTGTTTTGGCACTCATTTTATCAACCTGTCGCTTCTTGCACGTGTCACATCTGAGGGTTGGGAGGCCTCCCTCCCACAGCCCACTTTTCCAGAAAATTAATTTACCGTCAGCGTCCATTTAATATTTGCATCCTTTTTAATAATTTTAAATATATTTAAAGTACCAATACTATTGAATAGACTATACTAATTCGTTTTGACACAAAATTTCCTTTGTAATTCAATGAATTTATGTACTTTATTTAAACACACAATACGAAATATGATTTGTGTAACAAAATTAAGTTAACTCCCGGCACAAACGCTTCACATGAACACTTTGATAGAACTGTCTGATCCTTTTCATAACTCCAATAAAAAAATAGTGTAGTATTATATATATTTATTAAATAGGTTTGTCAACTAACAATAATATTAGTCAACAAGACACTTACTATTCAAATAAGTAAATATTATAATTAAAATCTTTAAACAAAAATATTGACAAGGGGACCAAAACTGAGGATATTTTTTAAATTGTTCTTTCAATATCTTCATTGAAGTAAAATTTAACGTTTAAAACGATATATATTCTTATTTAAATTATTTTAACTTCGGCCCGAGTTTCGATGCTCTCCAGCACTGAAGTTTGACAAGTCAACTAATATATATTGCGTTTTAAATCGTTAGTGTTTTATTTAAATAGTACTACTCCGTAAACTAAAGATTTGTAGTCTACCTAAACAACCAAGGGCATTAAGTACACACGAAAGGAAAACTTGTTCAGAACTTATCTGCCAAAAAAAAATATGCCACTTTTACAGCTATTTGATAACACAAGTAAAAAATCAGTACAATTACTTATATCGTTCCATCCCATATGTACCGATTTGAAAATGATCAGATCTATTATTAACGTTTATTATATTAAAGGCATTATTTACCAAACAACAAATTTAACTATTTCAGATCTCCACGTTCCACTTACACCTGCGTCTAAAAATATGAGCTACTTCTGCAAATCGCTGACCTTTTGATCACAGGCCCGTCCGTCTTCCTACGCTAGTCTTTGATTAGCCTACTACAAGACGCGTCGTATTTTTGCGCATATCCTGGTTTACACTATAATAAACATTACTCAATTTAGATAGTGTCGCTGACGGAAATTCCTACGTATCTTAAACTTATGTCAGTTATTTCACTGAAAAGATACAGTCATTAATTTTTGTTTTTAATGAAAACTGCATTTTAAAACAGCCGTTTCGTCGCCTGGGACATAAGGCGACGATATCTGTGCAAGTTCCCTAATCGCTTTATTACAGACACGCAGTTGAACTTCTGTGTCCTGCCCGACCGAAACAAAATATAATTTCTTAAAGAACAACCCAGTAGGTCTCATTATCGCTATGCTACTAAAACTGAGCTACAGTGGTGGTCAGTTAAAATACGTATTAACAAGTAGAATGAATCGACAGGTACAGTTTTTACAGAGAATATGGAGAGGATTAATAGAATGTTTACACCGAAGTTTATTTAAAGCCGGCCGAAAGGAGAACGCTAAACAGGACAGGTCACATAAGATCGACGACCTAGAATCCGTGTAAATATTAGTCAGGCGCAATTTCAGTTCTCGATAGGCCAATCATAGATTTATAGCCGACACTATTGGAACTCAACAGATTTCGATCACTTTTTAGGTTGAACAGGATTTGCATTATTGGACGAATGGTTATTAACTTTAATATTTTGTATACTTATTTCACATCATGGCATTAAGTATATAAATTAAAAATCTATTATAGATTGAAAAAATTTACGCCACGGGCAGGAATTGAACCGGCATCCACATCGATTCGTGCTGTTCCTCTTACCAATAGAGCTACCATGTCCTACACGTCATTGTCGTTTTGTTCTTGACTGATGTGTAAGACAACACAAGGATCGCAAGGACTAAAGTTCGATTACGGGTTGCGCAAAATGTTCATTTTATAACCTGTTTTTGATTTGCAAGTAGAAAGCTACTTCAATATGGACGAACACGTTAAGCTATCGGTCTCGGTTATTATTACTACTTTAATAGTGTTGTATCCTGCTAAAGCAGACTGATAGTGGTGGGCTAACCCTCTCGTTTCTTGGATAAGGAGCCCCCGTGACCACGGCTGCTGCAAAGCATCCGAAACGTCAGGCTGAAGTTAAAAATCATTTTCAAATAAGTTTAACTAATATATCGCGTTTCAAACCGTTAAAGTGTTTTATTCAAATGTGTACTACTCGCGTAAACTATAGACAGTATTTAAAAGCGTAACATTTTCACTAAACGTCCAAACGGATTATCCAACCACATCCTTCGCTGTTCGTTCAAATACAATCACTTCACATTCCGATGCACAATTACTGAACTGTCATCGCGTAACTTGCCAGGGCGGCGAGTGTAACGAGTAAAACAATAGGCTGCAAGTAGGCTATGATCGCCGTTAACCAAAGTAGAATCCGTAACAATAACTCGCCGTAAACAGCACATAATAAGTCTATAGGGCACATAATTTAACAATATTTTATTAGGTTATCCGCCTATATTTTAGGAGCACTGATCAACCACAATCTTTATTTGGCTAGCCGATACTTTTATGTTGGCAATCAGCAGAAAGTGAATGTAAAATAAAGAGAATAATTCTATTTAAAATAATAATTTTCAGTTCTAACGGTTTAAAACACGATTTTTTAATTACGACTCGTTGTTTTCGATGGTTTATAGTAGCCAAGATTAAATTGAGTTAAATAAATTAAAAAAAAATCCAATTGGCAAAAGTTTAGCACATAAGCACATATTATTTAGACTTAAAAATAAACTATATATAAATGTGGGCACCATTAATTATAAAAAATATGCTTGGACAAAAAAAATGTCCCCATTCATTGCAGGATTACACAAATATTCATAGGATGCAGCGATTGTTCTATGATTAAGCAGTGTTGCCTGAGGCTTTTTTATCAAGTTTTTCTTTTACTTTTTCGCTTGCAGATTTTCTTTTCATTTAGGCTTATGAGTATTCTGAAGAACATATTATAAACGTCTCAACTGAATAAGATTAAAGTTGGTATCTTTTCTGGGAAATTGAGAGACTGGAGTAGTTACACTATGTTTCCTATTATACTATCCAAGACAAATAAAATTAAAAACTATTGTTGATTTATTTGATTAGTATAAATATATACAGAGCAAATGCTTGATCATATAGATGTTATGAATGAAACAAATCAAATTTGTTCTGTGTGTTGCGTCTGAATATCTGTTTTAAGTTTTTTATATGTATGAAAAATCTTTATAATCTCTACCTATACAGTATAGATTAAAGATTGAAAGAATATAGTATACTAATATAAATACTTATTCATGATTTAGGTTAGTAGTTGTTAGTGCATTTAAGTTATAATACACACCATATTGCATAACTTTCTAGATGACAGTTTTTAGTATTTTTATTAATTAATATTGTCAAGATGACAACAGACCAGGCATAATAAAGGGGCCATATTATGAAATCAAAATGACAATATATTGTCATTTTGATGTTTTATGTATTTTTTAGAGAATTGTTCTTTTGCTACATTTTAATTTATTTATTTCATAAACGGATTTATTTTTATATCGTTTTTGCAAAAGATATTTCGAGCGGAATCACAGCGCATTTCGCCCTTTTTATCGCTGTTTGGTTTCAAAGACGTAATTCAGGTAATTGTTTAAAACATTCACATGCATTTTAAATTAACTCCCTATGTTGCAATGACAATAACTCGCACTTACCTCTTAGATGATGAGTTTTCAGTCATTTTCAATATAAATCCTCAATCATATAGTAAAGAAATATAAACAAAATCGCATTATTTTGTACCACACTATTAGACGCTAAATGTACCTATTTGTTCATTTCGTATAATAACAGATCAAACACAAAACACTAGATAAACAAGATATATTGTTTCAAACAATTGATAATAAATTAGGGGCAAAAACAGCATAGATAACGAGATATATACGACACACACGACAAATTAAAGGATCGCATGATTTTTCAATGAGTATTTGATATTTAATGTCAACGTCAACATGATTTTACAGGAATAGTCTAAATAATTGTCATGTGTCATTATTAATGTTGTCATCTTATTACGAATCGCCACAGTATCGAAATAACGTTTAATTACCTACATACCTATGACCATATTTTGTCGCATTATTTAATAATTTAAGCAATTTGTTTCGTGATTTATTAAATGCAATAAGTCATAAAAGTATATAATCTTTTTTTATTAGTCATAAAGAGTATTATAGATTATCTTCGTTGCTATGGCAACTTTTGGTTCACAATAAACAAACTTGAACCAATGGCCGAGTTTCAAAATTTCTGTGTTTGTTGTCACATTGGCACTGGAATACAACCGCGAAAAACTAAGAGTTTATTGATATAACAACTGTAGTTAAGTTTTAACAAATATATGGCTAATTCGTCCTTAATAAATTGACATCACAATGTTCAAGAACACGTTTCAGTCAGGATTTCTTTCAATACTTTACAGTATAGGTAGTAAACCTTTGCAAATTTGGGATAAAAAGGTCCGAAATGGGCACATAAAAAGGATTACAGACAATGATATACAAAGTCTGGTGCTGGAGATTGTGGGCACTAATGTATCTACAACTTATATTACATGCCCCGCTGATCCAAAGAAGACTCTTGGCATTAAATTGCCATTTTTGGTTATGATTATTAAAAATCTTAAAAAGTATTTTACCTTTGAAGTTCAGGTAATAAACATTATTATCAAGATATTTAGAATAAAGCAGTTATTATTTGCTTTAGCATTTTGATTAACTTTACATATTTCTTGAAACATTGTACATATTGGTTATTTTTTAAGGTGCTTGACGACAAAAATGTTCGCAGAAGATTCAGAGCCAGCAATTATCAATCTACGACTAGAGTCAAACCATTTATTTGTACTATGCCTATGAGATTGGATGAAGGCTGGAATCAAATACAGTTTAATTTAGCTGACTTTACCCGCAGAGCTTATGGAACAAATTACGTAGAGACACTGAGAGTACAAATACATGCTAACTGTAGGATTAGACGAGTCTATTTTTCTGATAGGTTGTATTCAGAAGACGAGTTACCAGCAGAATTCAAACTGTTCCTGCCAATACAGAACAAAGCTAAAACTGCAGTTGCTACTTAAATTTACAGAAATGCAATAGTCTTAGCAAATGTATTGTATAAGTCAATTTACTATATTTATATACCTATACAATACAACTCTACACCTTTCATATAACATCTTATGGAAATAAACATGCACATCAAATTTTATGTTTTCTTGGGACTGAGCCATCATATTGTTTTTACATTAAATAATGTTAATTGTTTCAATGAAAGTATATTTTAATCAAAAGTTTCGACCATTTAGTTACAAGACTTGGTTAATAACTTCAATTAAATGTATCAATAATTGGATGCAACCAGCAGGTCTGCTGTTTATATCAATTTACTTACATACTAATAAGTATCAACTGTGTCTATTCATCTTATCATGATCACACAATCAATCAAGGTAACGCTGATTATGGATTGAGTATGATCAATAATTTAGTAACCATGAAGGTAGATTGATAAATATGAAAAAGTTAATTCTTTCCTACGCGGTATCGGAAATAAAGTTCCTTATATGTATCCTTATATTCGTTATAATATGTATAGTCTGCTCTTTTTTGGCTTCGTATACCCCATAACACCCGACATAGATTTCTGCAGATTTATTATGGAATACGAATTATAAAGAACATTCGATTTGTGGACTTTTATTTAATTGATATCTATAATTTAATTTAAGGGCAACCATTCTTAGAGCAGAATAGTAGGGAATCTGGCAACATATAAACACACCAGCTGACATTGACAACCAGTCAACCATTTCAAATTATGATTAAGTAAATAGCATAATCCTATTAGATTTATAGATTAAGAATATAGTTTTTTTCTAAATAATTGTATTGTCCTTATGAATCAAAAATGTTGTGGTTAGCTGTTTGCATGTCAGTTTTAGTTTTAAATATATCTAAAAGCTATGGAAATGACATATTAGGATGTGGAGGATTCGTAAAAAGCCGCGTCGCTTTAGATGTATCTAATATAGAAATTGGATTGTAAGTTAACCTTAAATTTTTACTAATAATCTAATTATGATTTTTAAAGTTTTTTTAAATGACTTCTTGCATTAAAGGTATACACAAGAAGGGAGTTTAGTAGAAAAGACAGAATGTGCCCCGACAAATGGTTATTACTTTGTGCCATTGTACGAAAAAGGGGATTATATCTTAAAAGTACACCCACCAGCAGGATGGAGCTTTGAACCATCAGAAGTAGCTGTATCTGTCGATGGTGAAACAGACCAATGTTCTACAGGCCAAGACATAAACTTTTCTTTTAATGGCTTTGGCATCACGGGTAAAGTTATAACAACTGGAAAGCTGTCTGGTCCCAGTGGTATAACTGTGCAACTAGTCAATGATAAAGGAGAAGAAAGAAATACATTAACTACTGTTGGAGGAGACTTTCACTTTACACCAGTTATCCCTGGAAAATATGTTTTGAAAGCTAGTCATAACAGGTAATTTTCAGTTTTGTGTCTAAAATTTTTTTTTTATTAGACAATATTAGTATTTTAATATTCAAATAATAGATAAAAGTACTAGTATAAAGACTTAAGTTGTAGATTATCTCTTATACTTATATAGTTTGTGTAAAATAAAGCTTACCATTATGACTAAGCTACCTATGTTAAATAATAAAAAAATTAGGAAGGCAGATAATCTGCAAGTTTGGTATAATGGTGTTTTAAATATGTTCTAGATGGAAGTTAGAACCATCTCAGGCAACTGTGCAAGTTAAGGAGGGAAACACTGTTTTGCCAAGTGGAGTACTTGCTGTCAAGGGCTATGATGTTTCTGGTTCAGTTACATCATTTGGCAGTCCTATAGCAGGTGTACATGTGTTGTTGTATTCTAAAGAGGTAAGGATGCATTTATTTTAGATTAATGACAATTAGATTATTGTGCTTGTAAATTTATCATGTTTTATCATGTTTCTTTTTCTCTCTGTTGCTACACTCTTGTGTTATTGAGAGTGAAAAAAACATGATCAGAGCAGTTTGTCTAAAAGAACTTGAATCTTAATTTAACTAAAGTGGGAGTCCTATTATTAGGCTTAGGTTACTACAGGGTTCTTTATAGCAATTCACCATGTACAATGTACTCATATCTGACATGCTGTTTCAGGAGAATCCAAAATTTAGGGTAGAGGGCTGCAAAACGGCTCTCATTCAGGGTGTTCCAGAATCACCAATCTGCTACTCAGTTACTGATCAAGCTGGAGAGTTTAGTTTTGGTTTGGTTCCAGCCGGAGAGTATAAATTATTGGCGATGAGCAAGACACCAGGACAAGCTACACTTGTTTACAATATAAAACCAGAAAGTGTTGAATTTAGCGTCCACCATGACAGCCAGTATATTAAAAACGCTTTTGAGGTGAGTGACTAGTAATGATAAAAATAAAAATACCGAACAACAACTAATAATACTGACACTTTTCAGGTGTTTTCTTTATATTGTTTTTACATACAGGTACTTGACACTTATAAAACTCTAGCTTGCGTTAAATTTATTATTTGTTAATTCCATAAGATTTGTTTGATCCCAAGATGTCGAAGATTTTAAAAAAATATTTTTAGGCATTTTTAATATGGGATAAGGGGGGCTTAATAAAGTTCTAATCGATAATTTAAAAGACTTTCTCAAAAATAGTCAACATCCTTATTAAATGATTCCATCAGGAAATTGTTTTAAGGATGTATATGATATGTATTTTTAAATAATTATAGAATATAGATGCATTGCATTTACTTACTTTGATCTTTGATTATAAATGCCAAAAATAAAAATCTTTGCTCATCATCTCTATCACATGAAAAAAGAATAGAATATTTAAGCTCATAATTACTATTTTAGGTAACAGGGTTCACAGTAATAGGAACTGCTCTTGCGTCAAAAGGAGGCAAGGCGGTGTCAGGAGCACGCGTGCTACTCAGTGGAGAACCAGTGGCTACTACAGACTCGGCTGGGAAATTCACTCTAACAGCACTAATTCCTGGAACATACATTATAACATTGGAGCATGGTAAAGATTAAAAACCTATTTTAAATAAAAAAGTTACGACAGATATCCACAAAGGTCTGTGCTCTAACCAATGGAGCTACTGTGTTCTGCAACAGCACGGAAAACGTTGGGTGCCGCGTCGTTAATTTAATAAATCTAAAATCGATTTTTAATGTATATATTGCCAATATGAAAGAAAAAAAAATTGTCATACCTATATAAGGAATAAGTTGTGTTTGGCTTTAGGAAGTATTGATCTATGAAACAGATACAGAAATACTGCGATTAAGTGATTTCTCTTGTATTATTCAGAGCAATGTGAATGGGAACCTCTAGAAGTACGGGTAGCCCCAAGTGGTATCTCAAGCTTGCTTCAAGCTGTGGTGGCACGATGGCGGGTGTGTGGTAGTGTCGCTCCGGCTCCTACGCCAGCGCGACGTCTGACTTTGCGCGCGGGTGAATCTGCTTTTCAAGTAACCAGTGATGATTCTGGTAAGTAACGAATCCATCAGTTTCATGTCGTAAGATTTCTCATTCAAGCTACAAGTATAGTAGGATTTTGTACAATTAAATAAAACACTTTAACGGTTTAAAATTCGAAATGTATTAGTTAAACTTATTTACAAATTATAGCCACTACGGCCCGACGTTTCGGATGCTTTGCAGCAACCGTGGGGAGAATAAAGATGGAGGGTGGCTTTAATGTTAATGTAAAAAACTACAAATATTTAGTTTTTTGTTAATATATTATCTATTATAGTACCAATAATCGATATTTAGTAATTTATGGTTTGAGCAAATATTTTACAATTCCTAGTGCAACAAATATTTTTCCAAATTGGGACAATCTGTTTAATATTTTTCTTTTTCAGGCAACTGGTGTACTTATCTCCCAGCTGGGACATACACAGCTCGGGTGGATGTCACTGAACAGGAACATAGAGATGGATTGCAGTAAGTATTCCCATTAATGAGTATCTGATTAAAAATATCCATGTTGTAAGGTGAGGCTCACTGATTGAATGCTCTGGCTAATGTTGTTCATTTCATTTGTGGTTGACAAAGACGCTATATAAATATGGATGCAACATTTTATCACTTCAACAGAAAGAGATAAAATCAGCAATATATAGACTAGTTTAGAAAAAGTTTGTTAAGATCCTAATATATAAAACTGTAAACATTACTTATAATGGCTAAAAAAATACAAATACGGACGAGTACAGCTTTTTTCGTGATTATTTACCATTTAAATACTAGGAACAAGCGAAAGTTTTTAGCCGTAAAAGGACTAAGAGTATCTGCCTCACCACTGTGTAGGTGTGAGCTTAAAGAAGTAGTCAAACACCCACCAAGGTGTAGTTTTAATTTCATTACCATGTAAATTTGCTGCAGGTTCTATCCAGAATGGCAGCAAGTAGTGGTAGGGAGTGCTCCAGTTAAAGGCATCTCTTTCTCCCAACTCCGTGCTAAAGTTGAAGGACGTGTGGTTTGTGATGGAGAATGCGCTGGACTCCGGGTAACCTTACGAAGTTTGGCAGCAGATGGAAGCTATGTTGGTCAACCTACGCATTCGGATCTGAAACAGGGTCAGTTTTAAGAGACTGGGTTAGTAAAGATTCTGCAAGCAAACTGGAAGGTTTGAAGGAGACACAGTGAGAGTTCAGTTAATAAAGATAATCCAACCTCCTCTGGGGAGGAATTGGGTGAAATAGCAGCCAATAGTGTGACTGGCCACCTGGCCTGCTATCGGTGTCTCCAATAAAATAATAATAATAATAAAATGTTTCTGTCCTATACTAGATTCATTGGAATTTAAGTGAAATTCCTCCTGAAAACAGCAATCATATTTTTGTGTTTGTTTGTTTGTGTTGCACTAATCAAATTTATGTATACGTATATAAAATGTATATAGTAGGGGAGGAAGTAAATATATAATACATATATTTATTAATATGACCGCCTCCCTTAGTTTTAATCGAGTTAAGCACAAGCGGTCTTAAATTCGAATCCCGGAAAGTTAATAAATTGTTTGTTGGGAGGCGGTTCGGCCCCCTTTTTTTTTTTTTTTTTTTTTTTTTTTTTTTTTTTTTTAAAAAATTATTTACGCATCATACTTACAGCAGCAGCTCTTAACAAACGAATATTTTCAGACGGCACTTACGAGTTCTTAGACGTATTGCCGGGCAGTGTGGAGGTATCAGTGGATAGTTCGCGAGTCTGTTGGCAAGAGAGTGCACACAATGTAGCTGTGGTGTCCTCCCTGGCCACGGTTCCTAACTTTGTCCTCAAAGGCCTAGTGCTGAGTGTCGTCTGTTCACATGAGATGGAGGTATGTTAAAGTGAAGTGTTTTAAAGAATCTCTCTTATTACAAAATATTGTATTTTTTTATAAAATAAATAAATAAAATATCGTACGAGAAGTCCAGAGACCGTGTCTGTACTTAGTACCTGTACAGTACCTAGATTAGCAGCTCGATATAAAACAAATTTAGGATTTTGCTGAAAATCAGTGTGTATTATAACTGTGCTGCAACTCATGCTGGCGCAAGACCAATTTTGGCATCAAGTGATGCCAAAAATATATTAAATATAATTTTTTTTAATTAGTGTATTTCTTTCTAACACTACTGTACGAAATAAATGCCAAATAAAGACATTTATCATTACTATTATTAAACCTTTCGTAACTTAATATACAAAACATACATACAGCAATATATATTTTAATTTTTTTTTTTAATTTTCTTCAGACAGGGTAATTGTATTTATATTATGGTTAAGGAATACTTCTTTTACAGGTGGCATACAAAAGTGGTGACATACAAGGAGTAATGGTATTGCCGGCGGGTTCTAGCGCACAGTGTTTACCGCGTGCTCGTTCTTACGTACTCACGCCTCGCGGCTGCCATAAAGTGGAACCTGCGCAGGCGACTGTTAACTTCCGCCATAGCGAAGTACCCGTGAGTTTAACTATTGATATTATAAAAAAGAAATGAGATACTAATTTCCGTCGAATTGATGTTTTATTGTGTTTAAAAATATTAACGATTTAAAATGTGACATATTAGATAATCATTTATGCTGCAAAGTATCCGAAACATCGGGTCGTAGTCAATAAAAGTTTAATATATCTCGCGTTTTAAAAAGTTTAAATTGTTTAATTTCTATGTGTACTCTCGAGGCATTAATTAGGTTGACCATTAGTAGTAATTCTTTCATTATTAGGTCGGTTGTTTCTGCTTAGATCTTTTACTATTGTTTATTAAAATTTGCACTACTCGCGTAAACTATAGGCAGTACTTAAGAATAACTGAGTTTCCAAACAAATGGATAAAAAAATATATTTTAAGTTTATTTTATTTACATTATACTTTAAGCCTCATTGACGAAAAACTTCTATTTCGACGACAGAAAAATATATTGTAGTTAATCTCTAAACTCTTATATCTTTTTCAGTCAGTGGAATTCAAAGCGCGATCGCATGCAGCGGTCGTGCGCGTGATTGCTCGCGAGCCAGCGGACCTGTCTCTGCGTCTCGAAACTGACGCTGAGCAGTCTACCATCAAACCGGCTCTTACAAAGACTGACGCTGGTCATGTTTATGAACACACTCTATATTTAGCAGAGGTACTTATCTGTCTTTACTATTATAGTGACACATATTTGACGGGATTGTTGGTGTAATGGTAGCAATGTACGGCTACTAATCAACGGGTCGTGGGTCCGCTCCCCACTGGTTACAATATTTTTCTAAAATGTGCTTTGTCTGGTAATCTGGTTATTAAATGGGTGGTAAGAAGTCCTAATCCGTCCCATTCATAACTACCGACCACAATGAAATTTCGGTTTTTCTTCTTTGTATTTCCAAATATCCAATGCCAAATTAGATCGACAGGGCATCTTGTTTAGTTGCTATAGGCTGGGGTATAAGTAAACCCCACGCTAGTCTGTCCGCTATCATTAAGAAAAAAAGAAGTAGATTTTCACCACAGAAATTTTTCTTGGTCAAATTATGTCTAAGTGTGATTTTGTTTCTAGGGTGAAGCGGTCACAGTTGTTCCACAATCCAGCAGTTTCCTATTCAATCCGGTGAAAGAGCGACTCGTCGGTTCGGGACAGTGTGATGCAGCGGCTCTTACTATCAGAGCTACACTTGGCCTTACGATCTCCGGTCGTACAGTGCCACCGGTTGCTGAAGTCCTTATTACTCTTACGGGAGGTATGTTCGCTTATTTTTAAAATTTCCTCGGTTTTGCTTGGGTTTGATAAAAGAAATGACGCGTCCAAAATAATGAAGACGCCGACAAAAATATATAGAGAAGGAGGAATCTTTATCGACAATACAACAATTTTAGATGTTAATTTAGGAACCTAATGTTGTATATGAAAAATCAGTAGTTATACTTAAATTCAGTCATATAACATTTTAGCTTTGTATATTCGGAAATCCACAGACTGGCTTTTTAAACTGCGGATTTTTGTTAAATGTTAACTAATGTTGAAAATACACAAATAGTATTGTAGTTTATTGGTATAACTGTGATCAAACCGTAAACATTTCTATAATAATGTCGATATTTCTTTGTTTATAGATGATATTAAATTAACTCAAGTAACCAAAGAGGACGGCTCATACAGATTTGGGCCTCTAGAAGCGGACAAACAGTACACTGTAACAGCTGAGAAAGCGTCCTACGCGTTTAGCGAACCTGATGCGCAGGGAAACATAATTGCCCACAAACTCGCTGAGATAGAAGTTCTTCTTATTGATGACGCAGATGAGACGCCGTTAGAGGTAATAGTTATACACAGATAGATTATTCGTTGAAACCGATGGAAATAATAATGTTGGTAACATCTACAACAATATTCCTTTATCTTGAGAAATTACATATTTGATTTTCACAAATTTGAACCATTATTTCAGGTTATTAGTAATTTGATACGAAGTTAAAATATGATATATAGATTAAAATAATTTCATGACACGAGCGGGACTCAAACTCACGATATATCCGTTTTACTGTTGTATTAATTTTACATTTATTTATAATTATCATTTGAAAATAGTACTAGCGATTGACCGCCTCTGTAGCCAAATGGTTAAACGTATTGCCTAACATTGCGTTAATCACGAGAGGTTCTGGGTTCGAATCCCAGGGAAATAAAAAATTGTTTCGGTCGGGGTACAGAAGTCTGATCAACTACTTGCCTGGTAAAGAACGGATCAGTCAAACGGACACAAAAATGTGTTCGTCTCATGCCCGACGAGGGGGAAACGGGATCTAACAATCGAAATTTCAATAATCAAACAAGCTATTTACTATTTAAACATGTCATGTAAAAAATGTAACACTAGCGCCATCTGTGTGACAATGTGGCCAACATAGCCCTTATTATCGATTTCCTGCTTGGTAAGATCTAGTTTGTTTCAGTTGATTTCTTCGTCAAAGGTTTTAACAAGCACTCCTATACATTTTTGTTTTTTCTAAAGAGTTAATATTTCAGGGCGCACTAGTATCTGTTTCCGGAGGGTCCTACCGTCGCAATGTAGCCAGCGGTGCTGACGGATGGCTCATATTCGGTTCCTTATCTGCCGCACAATACTATGTGAAAGCGAATATGAAGGAGTACAGATTTACGCCACCTCATCATATCTTGGATGTCACTGATCAACCGCAAATGAAGACCACGAAACTTGTTTTTAGGTAAGAGAAAGGAAAAACAGTAATATAGGAATGTATATTGAATTACGGGATGTAATGTCCGAAAAGTATGAACTTTTCACTTCCGTTTCTCATTGTGGGGCCTAGGGTGAACACATTCACGTGTCCATTTTACTGATAGGTTTTATATTAGGCAAATAGTAGAGTTAGATTCAGACTTCTGGTTCTACCCGACCGAAAGGATCTATTTGTCTCCCTGGGATAATACCAGGACTTTTAAATAAAACACTTTAACGGTTTAAAACGCGATATATTAGTTAAACGAATTTGAAAATTATTTTTAACTTCAGCCCGACGTTTCACACCAGGATTTTTTGCAAAGATCTTCCCCATCTTTAGAAATGCTACCCACGACGATGTTCATGCAAGTTAATCTTAAAAGATAGACATATACTGTCGGGGACATGTTTTTAGATCATTTAAAGAGGAATCATTCTTCCATGCATACTTCTTGGTTTCTCGAACCGTTTCCGCAGCCCAACAGAAGTCCTCTAAGACGAAGTATTTTACCGTTATTTCCATATTTTTCACTTGTTCTTCGCTCTTATTGGCCGCAGCGTGGTGTTATATAGCCTATAAAACCTTCCTCGAATAACGGTCTATCCTACACAAAAATTTCAATTTGAACCTATAGGTTCTGAAATTAGCGCGTTCAAACAAACAAACTCTTCAGCTTTATAATAATAATTTATAAACCCATGTTTTGGATTCCTTTCATATTGTATATGCACACAGAGGATCCCGCGTAGCGTGGTCCGTGTCAGGGCGTGTGCTATCTGTGGGCGGTGCAGGCGCTGGTGGTATAGGGTTACGCGCCCGCGCCGAACCTGCCACCTGCTTCGCTCATGATGCTACCACTTCACCCACTGGGGAATTCAGGTACATGTCTACCATTAAGATACTATTCTTATACACAAATCACTTTATAAGTATTAATTATTACACATTATAAGAGTATAAACGTGAAATAAATCATTTCCTTGATCATTAATTACGTTTACATGGCTTAAACTATTTAAAATCTCGCTTTTACGTGTAACATACGCGTATATTAAACGTAAAAGGCAGGTAAACTACATATAGCCTCATAATATTATAAAGAAATAAATACAATTGCTATCATAATACTTGTTAGCCGTTTTTTTTATAAGCATAGAAATATACAGATCATATCTAAGAATGATCTGTATATTCAACATTGTTTACCATCTGGAACAATAACATTGTTTGCCAGATGGCAAACTATGTTCTTATATAAAATATATCTTTGTAATTAAAAACAGAATCCGTGGTCTTATCCCATCGTGTGTGTACACACTAGAGCTGAAAGAAAACTCCACGCCAGAGCTAATGGGAACCAAGCTTGTACGCACATATCCACCGATACAAGTCAGTATATACGTATATTACCAAATAAGATTATAAAGAGATCATAATGATTTGTCAAAAAAAAAAGTTTGTTATCTGACTGAGAAAATTCATCTATGTGAGTGTTATAAATATCGAAAAAAAAAAGTCTATGTAAGAAACTCTTTTGTTTCTATAATGTCCAGCAATAATGACATATTTTATTCATGTAATAAAACACTATTAACGATTTAAATTACGATTAATATATTTGCTACAACTCCGCTAGAGCCATCCGGTTTTTTTTTTTCCTGGAGGGCCTTTTTTTTTTTTTTTTTTTTTTTTTTTTTTTTTTTTTTTTTTTTTTTGGGTTTTTTCCCCCCTTTTTATTTCTTAATTCATTTTAATTTTCAGGTCCAAGGCAAAGACATAGAAAATGTCCAGCTCATAGTGTTACAGCCCACACAGTTGACAGACTCAACTGTGCTGGTTCATGCTAATATAGACCATTACAGGACGCTTAAATTGACACTTGCACTAGATAACACAAAGCAGCCACTCTATAGCACTAAGTTAGATCCTTCTGGATACAGGTAATAATTTTTTTTTGTGTAAAATGTAATTTTTTAAATTACATTCTACACTAAATAACATATTTCATTGGCACCATTCAAGCTTAAAAACTAAATCATCCTTTTTTTGAAAAGGTCTATTGAAAATTATTTTCAGTTTTTAATATTCCCAATTTTCTATTTTTTTGTAATCAACGTAATTAGTAAATAAAGTATATTTTAACCGACCCTAAAATATGGGTATTTTGACTGCAATAAATAATAAAAAATAAAAGCCACAAGATAAAATATTTTTATATAAAAACCTTTATTATTATGGTGTTAATTAGACTAGAATATTACGTTTGAAAAGAATTTTTTTAAAACAATGCTTAATTAAAAAAAATGTCGTTATTTTAATATTGACATGTCATTTGACATCGAAATAAGATAAAGACGTGTACATTCAAACAAAAAAGGGCTATTTACTTCATATGTTTGTGAAAATACTTGTGTTTAATGTATTTAAATAAATCATCGTAACAATTTAAAAGGAAAGGAAATAAGTATATTATTTACAATCGTTTGAAAATTATTTTAACTTCGGCCTGACGTTTTGGATGCTTTGCAGCAGCCGTGGTCACGGGGAAACGGAGTTAAAATATTGTAATTAGTTTAACTAATATATTTCGCGTTTTAGACCGTTAAAGAGTTTTATTAAAATGTGTACCACTCGCGTAAACTACAGACAGTATTTGATACTTATATAATAAAGAAAATATACATTTTTAGTGCGTCTTCAAACCCGGGTCTCATGTACGTTCTTCCAAGGCTGCCCGCAGACAACAAGACGTACAGCATACAGATCGAGTCTACATTGTCTAAACTGACACATTCCTATGAAGAGCCAGTTGTTTACTTCAATTCGGATGGGAAATATAAACATTTCGATATTTATTTCGTGACTAAGGTAATTTTTTTTTTGTATTTTACATGTAAAGAAGTCTTACTTATTTGATAAATGTATATTTCAATAAGAATACCTTACGAATATTTTTTTTCTTCTTTCTTCTCTCTTTGAGATTAAATGTAGACCTACAAAATTTTAATTTAAACTATTTTCCAATATTTTTTAATTAAATTGTTTTCTTCTAGGTAAAATCTTCGGAACAAGAACTACGTGCCACCTCGTTCCTAATGCTGCCACTTCTAATCGCTTTAGCCGCAGCTTACATGCACCGGGACAAAATACTTGCCCGGATCAAAGCAGATTATGCTAACAAGAAATTGCCCAGGAAAAAAGTTCAATAATATTCATAGTTACTATTAGGATGTCTTTATTTGTGTGGCTTTTCCACTGTCAAAAAAAAAAAAAAAACACCTACAATTTGACGAATTAATTAATAGCCTAAATATAAGTACCATTTGAATTTGGGATGAATGAAGAATGAGCTAAACATTGGAATCATAAAGGTTTTGCAGTAATTTACAAAAAAAACAGGAAAAAATGTGTGCATTCCAAAAAAAACATTTTTTTTTTATATTGAATAGTTGCATTTTGTTATTAAAATTTTGTTTTATCTGTAGTATTATGTGAAAAGAATTAAGAACAAAGAATTATTATTTAGGCGTAATTCATAACTTATGGTATGATTATATTTTGGTTATATTTATTGTGCATTTCATGTGGTGTGCTTGTCGAAATAATATGGATTGTTGGTTTTTTTAGAGTTTTATTTATATCACAGAATGATTTCTCTCTTTATTGAAATTATCTACAAATAAACTGCTTAATACGCGAAATATTTTCGTTGTTTCCTTTAACTAGTAAGGAACTAAAAACGTATCGTATTTAAAAATAGAATATATTTCGCGTTTAAAACCGTTACAAGTGACATTGGGTGTATACTACTCGTGTATACTACGTACCATGCTTCTCTACTTATTGACTAATTAGTTAGTTTTTAATGTCATTCGTCGCAGCTGTAACGTTCGTAACAGTCAGAAATAGATCTGGCTTCATGGTCCCACAACCGTGCGTTCTCCTTACTAAAACAATAATAGACATATATCATTAATTAATTGTATGAGTCGCTAATAAAATAAAATTAAATATGTTTAAACCATTAGAATAGATTGCCCTGAAATGTGTTAATAATCGAACTCTTGCCCCGATGATTTTAAGCTATACATATGTTGCTATCATTAGATCAAAGAGACAAAATTTTATATAGACAACTAGTTTCTAAATTTTTATTGCACAAAAAAAAATATTTTCCCAGTATTCGATCGAATTTAGACCCACTGACCAGGAGTCTGTAGTTCTTGTGATATAGCAAGCTAACTTCACGACTTATAGGTTTAAGAAGTATATTGATTACTGAACTTCAATCAATATATTTCTTTTATCTTTCTTTCATGTTTATGAAAATGTGAACTTGGGGTTAGTGGGTATAGTATCCACGATCCGTTGTGTATTAGGCATACCTTGTGGTCTACGTGGTAAAATGTATTTACATTTTACTTGACGTTAAAATGAAAATACATTTTAAAACTTGAAAATTTGCACATGCTATCGATTGATGGCAATATAAAAATCAAAACTCGAAAAAAATTGACACGAGTAGGTACTGCGGAACGCTGTGGATGCTGGTTCTATACCCGCCTGCGTGGTAATTTTTTAAATCTCTATAGAATTTCAATTTTAAAACACATGTCCGTCATCTAATGGTTATTAGCCATACTATTGATGTTGATATAATAATATAGGTTATACTCACTTCACGAAATATAGTTCAAACGCGGCTACGAAGTTGTTTTGCGAGCGAGCGTGTAACTTACATAGAGCTAATTTCTCACACTCTTCCTCCGAACTAAAAAACGATATTATTCCAATTAATAAAGGCGAATTCCAATAAATAAGACATATTACAAACATACACTACAATGATTACTTAGTATTTAAGCAAAACACAACACTTCAGAATTTAAAAAGAAGTACCTAATTACATCGTAAAATACATTTTTTTTTAATAAGTAATACACGCTTGATATATGTTTTGAAATTGATTGAAATGATTCGATAACACACGGGGCTGGTTAGCACATCTCTGTCGTGTGTTCCAGACCCGCTTGTGTTATTTTTCAAATTTCAATGTAACGATTTGCGTACCTTCGCCGTGTCCTTATTTTTAGAAAATTGTCATTCGAGAATGATCCAATTGATAAGGCTGGATTAATAAACCGCTTTGAAATTATGTGGTCCTTTGTGCTTATATCCTCTGATACTGAAATAAACACACATTATTTTGGAATTTAATACTGGCAAAATATTACAACACACACACACAAGTTAAATAAAACCATTTTAACTTAAAGCACGAAACAAGTTACGAACACACTAATACATTTTGCATATTAAACCGTTAAAATTGTTATATTTATTTGTAACTACGGACATTATTTATTAATAGAAATGTATACAAATAGTTTAGGATATATTAAAATATTTGATATGAGTTCAAATCCCGGGGAAAAAATGGGCAAAAGTTGTTTTGGCCGGGCCGCAGACAAGCATCACTGTGTTTCAGCCCTCACCAGTGAAACGGTTACAGAAATGTGTTCATCTCATGTCGCACAAGGGCAAGGAATACTTGACTTTTAAATTACCAAAATCATAGTCTATAATCGGAAGACAGTGCACAGCAAGCAACAAAGCACACAACACAATGATTTTCGTCAACATTTTTCTTCAACTAGTGCTAACCGGTAAGCTGTAAAGAATATATCCTGATCACCATAAAAGGCTTTAAATACTATGAAAAATAACCCCCACTGCCTGAAGACTCGTGCGTCATTCGCACTTGATTTTAAACGTTTATCACAGTGATTAGTATGCGCTAATAACATTATTTGTATTATAGATTAGTTATTTAGGTCGCCATGTGTCACTTCCTTGCGATCATTGTATATTTTTCTCCTTATTGTGCACGCCACGCGTCTGTGACTAGACCGTGGGTTCCTCGTGGGGGAAAAGCCTTTAGCGGATAGGTAGGTAATTAGGATGGGTACTCACTTATCAACCCCTTTATAATAATATAGTATGTGCTTTTTTTATGATAGAGGTAGACAGACGGGCATTCTCTTGGTAATAGCTGAAATGCCCCAGCCATATAAAATCTAAATAAGATTTGGCTTTGAATATTCGTAACTTCACTCACTGAAACCCAACGCGATTAGAATTCGTCAATTTTAATCACGTCCGATTTGGGCACTTCATCGGTACCCTCCACCGACACTCATTTTGAGACAAAGGTTACAAAGTGTTGGACCTGGTGGGGATCGAATCCACCAACTTTTGATTATTGGCCGTACATTGCTACGAATACACTAACGATTCCGTCAAAAGCTTTGTTCTTATATACACTGTTTGCCAAAGAAACATCTTTTAAATAAAACACTAACGGTTTAAAACCCGTGACCACGGCTGCTGCAAAGCTTCCGTAATGTCGGGCCGTAGTTAAAATAATGTTTAAAAAAGTTTAACTTAAATTAACTGATATATATCGCGTTTGAAACCGTTATAGTGTTTTATTTAAATATGTAGTACTTTTTTACGTTAACTTCAGACAGTACATAAAGAAAGATCTAAACTAATATTATAAAACTTAAGAGCTTCCTTGTTTATTTGAACGCGTTTTTTTAGGTTTTGAAGTGATGAAATTAGATAGCGTTTATCGAGAAAGACATTAGGCTATAAAACAAAACGCTTTAACCAATAGCCATAGAGCCAAGATACAATGGGAAATGTGGAACAAACGAAGATAATCATGTATCTTTGGGAGTTTCCGTTACATGCGCAAACGGTGCAAGATTGATAAGAGCATAGGAAATGTGGAAAACGCGGGGAACATTATTCATTTTCATAGGTTTTTCAACACGACAAACAGATTTCTGAATCGATTTAATTTATAACATATTCATATAATAAAGCAATTGATCAGACTTCTGTACCCCGTTTGATTTAAATCCAGGACCTCTATTTTTAAGTGCAATGCTAGGCAAAGCGTTTAACTATTAATATTTATAATGTGCTTAACTATAGGTTATAAAGGCGGTGAAGTTATGTATATATATTAAAAATCTGAAGCTTCTACCCCAGTGTTACTGGCAAAAGTCAAAACTGAAATATGTAAAAAGTTTTAGTAATTTTTATATAATCGAATTATTTGAGAATTATTTGTACGTAATGCTTTAATTATTAATATACGTTAATTATTATTTACGTGGTAAAGTCGCATATTTATTTATAGCGCTATCGTACAAAAACATAAAAATTTATCTTACGAAATTTTGATAAGCCAAACTACACGTCGCTATAGAAGTTTTTACTTTGAAACACTAGATGCCGCTTTTGATGTTCGTGGAGACAACAGGAATCTATTGTTTTTTAGCATACCGTGCTTTATAGGAAATAGGGATATTATTAAGTTATTTAATAAAATTTAAAAAAGGTCGATAAAGAGATATGATATTAATTATTAAAAACTTATCTTTATTAAAGTAACCCAACAAAAATTACTCGACTGTTAAACAGTACAATATTTCGCCACAAGATGTCTCTTTATTAAACATCTTAAATGAAACATTTTTTGAATCTACTCATCGCTAGATGACGACACATGAGAAGACTTTTCTTGTCATAGCTAGAAACTTCGCGATTTATCTTTCCAGTTCTCGACTATAGATAGCGCAGTACGCGACAACTATATAAGCTGTCAGACGCGACGTTTGAGTCAGTCGAAAAATAAACATCGCTTCAAACGAACACACGCGGTAAATATAAACCAAAATGTCGCTCGTGCCTTACTGGTTGCGCCATTTGAGGAACTTGGCTTACCGGGATCCCGTTATTAGAGCTCTAGAAGACCCGTTCTCGGTATTCTCTAAGGATCCATTTTTCCGGGACCCAATTAAATACATCAGGCAAGTGACAGAACCAGTCGATCGCGATCACCATGGGATCGAAGGTGTCTTCTCCGATTCCGAGGTAAAAGCTGATGGGAAGAAAGTAGAAGTACATCTGGATGTTCAGAATTTTAAACCGGAACAGATACAGGTGAAGACAGTCGGAAACGAGATAATGATTGAAGGAAAGAAGGAAATAAAACGTGAGGACGGCTGGACAAGAAGCCACTTCGAGAGACGGTTCTTGCTACCTGAAGGCTTCCCACCAGAACGGGTTGAGTGTCATCTTGATAAAGGTAAACTGAAGCTGGTGGCGTTTAGGTCGGAGCCCTTGCAAGAAAGAACCATTCCGATTCAAGATAAAACGACAGATACTGAGAAATCGTAACTTTTTTTCATTTCTCACCAGTTTCCATTACATGATTTTTTTTGCCTGTATCTGCAAGTATGATGCAACTTCGTTGTAAATTAGATGTAGTGTTTTAATTATAAATGTTCAGACTGATTACTTAGGTTAGATTTATATTTGCATATTTGGCAAAATAAAAGTCAAAAATAAACAAAAATTTGTGTTTAATTTCACAGTCTATATTTCCTTATTTCAAAATTAATGCGCAATTTCACCTAGATAATATTGTCTGGCTAATAAATTAGACAATATAATTTTATTTATATATTTTCTTAATATGTATATTCAATGATTACATTCTTCGTTCTTAAAAGTTCTAGAATTCTTACTACATAATACACATGGTAACTGTCCATGATATTTAAGTTAACTGCTTAAACTGTATTTAATGACATTATCAGTGTGATTTTAAATATTAAAAATCTAATTAGAATATATAAATTTGATGACACAGGTAGCACTTAATTTATGTAATATCATATATGCATAATGATAAACATGAAGATTTTTTTTTTGAATATCTACTCATAATGCTTTATTCTTTTTGAAGGTGTGTTTGTGTGTGAAAGGTTTTTCCTCTCTGCGCCAGAGAAAGTAAATGTTTTTTTGAATGATTGGAAATTCGATCGGGCTTCTGTGTGTTTCCTGGGATTAGAACGCAGACGCTATCGTGCTTAGCGGAATTACGTTTAACCATCACGCTCAAAGGAGTTGAGTACGAAATAAGACCACCTTTGTTGAAATCTATATGATTATCAGACACGTCTGAATAAAAAGCATTCAATCGTTTTGGCAGTCAATTGATGAAGCACAGACAGAAATTATAATTTTGTTACATTCTCCTCGCGTTGACCTTGTTACGGATAACCGAGACTGACAGATTGAGAGTCGGTGAAGCATCATATTGCTGTGGAGGATGTTAAAGCAATAGATGATAACAATACTACAATATCAATTGCTAACTATGCACTCTCTAAGATTTATTTATTTAGACAGAAGGAAAAGATGGACAGAGCAAAAAAATGTATTTCTGCCTTTAAAATTAGACACTTAATTTCCTAGAGGATACAAGTTTGGGACTCACCTGATGGTAGGCTAACAGTCCCAACATGTGTCAACACTTTTTCGCAGTGGACATACAGAAACTGTAACCGAAAGTATGTACTTCCATGCTGTGGAGTTTTGGACGGATTCGTAAGATTAAAAACTATCAATCTAAAAATGACCAATATCACCCTTTATTGTTAGTCATAGATGGGAGATGGTCACATTGAACAAACGAACCCGTTGCGTTTCTAAGCTTTATAACATTTATCATCTAATGTAATATTTGTTTAGAAGACAATTACAAAATAAAATTCTAATTCATATATAAAAGCAATTCGATGTGAACTTTGAAACCAAATTAAACGCACCCTACGAGAATTGCGTCGTTGTTCAAACTAAAACCACAGCTCACACCTAACTCGCGAGTGTATAACGATTACTTCTACCGACCACTAAGCGTGGAGCACATTGTTGAAAGATTATTTTTCTTCTTAATATTTTAATGGCTTCGTCATTCTAAATGGATTCTAGTAATTTCTCGTATCCTTAGGAGTAGGAGATTGGAAAATCATATTGGGTGTCATCTACTAAAGGCCCCAACACGTAAAGAAGAAATGGAGCCATCGTGCCCTCTTCGGCCTCAAATTATCAAACACCCATTTTAAAAACTCTGAATTCCTATAAACACCTTACCGGCAAACGCGAAGACACCGTTAGTCAGTTCTGCAAGAACCCGGCCAGTTTACAATACCAACTTCGACGGAACAGATGGCGCTAGCGCAGCTATTTTGACTTTGACGTTAGAGACATCCTCCATCTTTAGTCTGCCCGAGACCACGGCTGTTACAAAGCATCCGAAACGTCGACCGAAGTTAAAAATCATTTTCAAATAAGTTTAACTAATATAAATCGCGTTTTAAACCGTTACAGTGTTTTTTTAATGTGTATTACTCGTATAGACTACAGACAGTGTAAACACAGCCTAACACCGAACCGTACAGGGTTCTACAGCGTGCGTACGTATTTTCAGTCGTGGAGGAGAAAGGCCCTCGCGTGGCTGCCTAGTTTATATATCATTATTATTTTCTATACAACTCATTTTTTGAAACACAAGCGTTTGTTGCCTAATATATGGTACGTATATTGTTGTATTTAGTAATATAAAAAGCTTTAAACATAAAATTTCTTTGAGTAATACTTTTCATAACATCATATATTTATCAAGTCTAAAAGATAACGGATGTTGAGAGAACATTAAAAATGTCAAATAAATAGTTAATCCAAATAAACTGAAAATGTTAGTAAAGTGAATTCAACATCCTAATCATAATTTTAGAGTATTTTGTTTGTATGTAAATACAACGTTTAAATAAATTATATTACTATATAGTTACTACTGCCTATCAAGTGTCGCTGTCGTACTGTCAACGTAATTTAATAGATTGTTTAACTTACATAAAAAGTTATTACGACTATAAAAATGTCTGCAGAGGAGAAGAATAACGGTGAGTATAAAGATTGTTTAAGTTTTCGAATTCTATATTAACGCATAAGTAATTTGTTAGTTTTCTTCAACACTTATTAATGACGCGCGTTGCGTACGCGCAAGACGCTGTTTATTTGAACTGTGTATCATAACTTAGCGGATCATCACTTAAATCCGATGGATTTAAATTTAAACATTGGATTATTTACTTGTTAGCTAAATAATTGCTTGTCTAAACAGATGAACATTTTATCTCCGATCTGGCACGAAATATTTCTGTTTAGGTAAAACTCTACGTATAATAAATCTACTGTTTAAACAAAAGCATAAGTATTATGATATGAAACTGACGAGTCTGTTTGTTTGAATGCGCTAATCTCGGGGACTAATGGTTTGATACTGTCTATAGTTTACGCCAGTTGTACACATTTAAATAAAACTTTAACGTTTAAAACATTAGTTAAACTTATTTGAAAATGACTTTTAACTTTGGCCCGACGTTTCGGATGCTTTGCAGCAGCCGAAACGTGGCAAGCAAAATCATTTTCAAATAAGTTTAACTATTCGCGTTTTAAACCGTTAAAGTGTTTCATTTAAATGACTACTGGTTTGAAGTGAAACATTATTTTTGTGTTAGTTAGATTTATTGAGGAAAGTTTTATCAAACAACAGACTGCTAATAATGCGAGTGAAATGCAGAGGGAAATGTGGAAAAACGAGGAAAATCATTCATCATTCGTTGCGTGTGGTTCTATACAACAGAAATTAAGAAACAACATTATGTATAAAAATAATGATTCTTCTATATAAATCTAAAATATGTTTGGACAGTATGTCTATCTTTTAAAATAAACTCGCAAGAACGGTGGGACGCGGACGACGTCGTGGATAACAGCTAAAATAAAAAAAAATATAACCCGATGTTTAATGTGTAATAAACTTCCAGGTCTCAGTCTGTTGGATTCCATAGACCGTGTAATAGTTACCGAAAAGACATCTGAATTTCCAAACAGCAAGTATGTGGTCACCACAGCCGATGGAGCGGTCATATTATACGCAAAGGAAGACTGCGGAATCGTCAACAGGCTCTTAGCCGGAAAGACGAGGTCATTCGAGATTGATATCTTTGATACTAGTCACAGAGAGGTAAATGTCTGTAGTATACGCGAGGCACTTTAGTTAAACTTATGTGGAAATTATTTTAACTACGGCTCGACGTTTCGGATGCTTAGCAGCAGGTCACTGGGACTGTAATAAACATACGGGGTACTTATTGACTTAAGTTTAACTAATTTATTTATCGCGTTTAAGCGTTTTATTTACAAAGAGAGGTGGTTATTCATTATACATTGTCTTTAGTTTACGAGAGTAGTACAACAAGTTAACCAATTTTTAAATGTACTTTTACAGCAGCTATGGTTATGTGGGGACCTGAAAAGTGTTTTACTTTTTTTTTTTTCAATTGAAGACAATCAGGTATTAAAATTTTAGAATATTTATGAAAATAATTCACACAATTCAAACCCCTCACATTATCCGCGACGCAAACGGCGACGCGCTGAGCAAAGCAATGATTTATGCTTTGTTTGACTTGCCAGTCGAATGGCTTGATTAATACACTAGCTGTGCTCGCGATTTCGTCTGCGTGGAATAGCTATTTTGGGCATCATATTATTTATTATTGTAAGGATTCACCTTTTTTCAATTTATAGCTGTTTTCCACAACGTCGTTAGTGTCCTGTCGCAAACCGTCGCCTCGTTCTTGCGAACTAATCTTAGAAGATAAACGTATATTGTCTAGAAAAAGATTATTATTTTTTTAATTAAAAATATGAATTCTTTACTTTTGGTTTCTTGAGTCGTTTTCACAGCGCTTGCAACATAAGCAAAATCAAATATGTTTTTTTTTTGTTTTTTCTACATTTTGTGTTTGTTTTGTCTCTTATTAGTCGCAGCCTGATGTTTTATAGCCTAACACAAAAATAAATTTTCAAACTATTCAGTTTTAATGTATATTAGCTAACCAGTTCATTCATCGCAAGCTACTTTTGAGCGATTCGCGTCGCACGAGCGATATTCCGATTTTATTTAATTTATTATTTTCACATAAAAACCAAAATACAATAAAACACATTTCTGTAAGCCGTTGTGACGAGGCCAAGTCCTTAGACTACGTTTTGATCTACGACGAGGGTTAAACTTCTCTTGTTCCATAACAATTGAAACAGAAAAAGGTAGGAGTGGAAAAGTCGAATTTTCCCTAATAAAATATTCGCTGAGGCCTCGCAATTCCACAATTTCCTTCGAGAAAACACTCGCACTTTATTCGAATCTAATGACTGTGCTCGTGAACCCTTGCGTGTGATATTTATGGTGATTTTATTACCGAAAGTAATTTATTGATTTTTTATAACGTCCCAGTGCAAACAAAATGTCGACTGGACTTATTTATTTTACAGATGTACAGAAACTTATAAAAAGTTATTTGTTTCCTTTTATTTAAGAAAAAAGGCGATAAGTATTTAATAAAGTTACGTAGCGGCGGATAAGGGTTTGCTAAATGTCTTCTTACCAGATATTTTTTTTTTGTAATATAGGCAGTCAGACATGAATTAGGTTCACTAAGGTAATTGGACATCTAAACAAGATGCTCTGTCGACCTATTTTGGCTTTTGGATATTCGGAAATCCAGAGACGGTATTTCGATATTCCTACCAACCGTTTAATATCCAGATTTCACATGTTTCCGAAAAATTATAAATGAAATAGATACATGTCGGACCCGATGGGGATCGAACCAACGACCCGTTGATTGTTAGCGATACATTGCTGCCATTACACAATCGGGCCGGTAAATTTATAATAATTGTCTATTCCAGGTAATAAAACTGCGTCGTCCATACAGCGTTGGTCAAGATAAAATGGATGTGATCGTGTGTGGTCAACCAGTTGCCATTGTAAGAAAGGAGGTGACTTTCTTCAAGCCAGTGTTAACCATCAATGATACGAGTGATAAGCAAGTAATTAGAGTGAAGGGTCCCGTGTCTACTACATCTCAGTGTAATTTTGAGGTTAATTCAATTTTATAAGATTTGTTACTTAAAACCTATATCAGACCTATTTTTTTAAGGAGTGTTTAATAATTCTAGTTTAGATTTGTAGGTTGAATTTATTCTTATTTCTTATAGATGTTTTAATTTATAGAGTTTTAAAAACATCTACTACTAGCTGCGTCAGCGACTTGGTCCGCGTAGAATAGTTATTTTGGGACAAACTCCCTTCTCGTCTTTATATTAATATATTATAGCTTTATTAAAAGAATCATACAAACATTTTGGTATCTTTAACCGTTTTCGTAGCGCACGCAATGAAGGCCTCAAAGGTGAATAAAAGCCCTTTACAAACTTTATTGATGCAATATTTTTCTTTGGCATTTTGATAAAAACTTTCTTCCGTATAATAGCAGGTCTATAAAGATCTAATACAATAAATTTATTTTATATTATTTTAATCTTTATTCACTAATAGTTTAATTATTTTAGCTGTATTCAAACGAGAAACAACGTATAGGCGCCATCTGTAAACGCTGGGACGGACTAACACGTGGTAACTCGGAGCGGGATAATTTCGTCATACATTTACCTCCGGTTGATGTTAGTTACAAAGCCGCTATTCTAGGAACTTGCTTCCTCATTGTATGTAAAATATCTCTCCATATAATTATTAATTCAATACTAACTAGTAGAATAATATTTAAATTGCTTTTTTTTTCAGGATTTCCTATACTATGAAAATTAATATTTTTAATTTATTGCCATCTAGCGTTGAATAGAAGAACTGCAACGTCCATATATAGTTCTAAAGAAGACACTAGAAAGTTCTAAATGTTACCAATAGATTGCAATTAATATATACTTTTAATAAAAAATATTATCACTTTATTAAATGCGTTTAATTGGATAAAAATATTCACCTTTAAGTATTTATTTAGAAAGCTTGTTACCTTATTTTCGAATGTTTACCCCATTTTCGTCCAATTAGTTTGAACAATACTATTCTCTCTTTAGTAGATATCACTGCATTACTACTTTTGTCATAATACTTGCAAGTGAAAAAATAGATTAATCTACAAAAATAGTATATGTTTATTAACGTATAATGCTCTTCTTCATATCATAATTCTTCGAGCAATCGAGGAATTAACATCTCCTGATGACGCCGTCCTCACGTGATAGCGAAACGTCGAGATCCTCTTCTCGCTCACGTCAGCCGAACAGCCCGAAAAACGATGATATGCTGAACAATGCCCGTGAAAGCCTTACACGATTTATTAATGCTTTTCTTATTTATGGTTTAGGCCAGTCGTTATCAAATAAACCTACAGTCAGTTAACAAACGACTGTTGATTAATTATTTGTATAGAAATAATATAAGTAAGAAAAATAAATGACTTCTGAAGATAACTCCTAAAATACATTTGCCGTGTAATTCTCCTCCAGATTTTCATTTAAAAACACGTCGAAATAAAAAAACGTCCATTTTCGTGAGCAATACTGGCTCAAAGAAACTGGAACGTACAACTCACAGAAAAAGAAAAAAAGATTAAAAAAGTAACATTCTATTTGAAGTGGGTATCGGGTAAATTGTAAGTTACATGAAAAACTTCATTGCCTTGCTAATTCGAGGCGTCAATAAATCTTAGAGGTTTCGCGGAAAGCCGTGTTTACGTAGAGTGGGGCTTGGGCGGGCGGCGCTAGGGCGGAAATAATGTTTCTACTACTAATTATAGTGTTCACTTCTAGATTATTTAACAAAGCCGTTTTAAAGAAATCTTTCCAAAGTAAGTAATACGCTTTTATGAAGTATAAGTAATGGGTTAGCTCGTTAACATGTTTTTTCCCAAATAAACATACAAACTTAATTACTGGGCTTATCTATACGGTATAAGTTTATAAAATTATAATTTAAACAAGATCTTTTTCTTTTACCAGCAGACTTCCAAAAAAGTCTTTTTTTATATTACTATTTATTTATAATAACACCGAATACTGCATACGATTTCTCGGTAGATAAATATAAGCCTATAATAAAAATGCTACACATAAAGAAGAACATTTACATTAACTAATAAATTCACACTTACCATTTTTCTAAGTATTGTATTACTGTTACTACTATGTGTACATTCTTAAATAATGTAATACTTCGTCCGTAATTTGTGTAGTACTGATTCAATAAGTAGTAATGAAATTAAACACGTTTAACAGATTAAAACGCGAAATATTTCAATTATTTTTTTCAAAAACCACCGCATCTTTTAAACCTTTCCGCGCTTGTTTAGCAATGCTGTTGCGGTATCATTTCGCGTTTTAATCCGTTTACGCTTATTCATAATATGGTACAATGGTTTAAAACAGAAACGATTTATAATAGCCTGTGTTATATTCCTCTTTTATTGCCGTTGTACACGCCGACACAGCTCGTTTACACTAGCCTACACTTGTCGACAGGTGCGATCTAGTCACGGAAGACAGATATTTAAAAAGTTTCTTATTTATGTTCGAACTGCCTATTATAATAAACATTATTTTTTATTAAAACTTCCAAAAGAACCTCGCCACGCAGCTCAAAGTTTGGGAATTATGAAAGTTTAAGAAAAATAATATAATAGGTGCTACTCGTGTATACTATTTTGTTATTATTTAATATTAAAACAGTTAATGTGAAATAAATAAAATTTTCTTGTAACATCAACTTCCACCGAGTACTATTCACAACATAAACATATTTACGAACAAAAGCATAAAGTGTAAAGCAAGTTAGCAACATGTAATAAATAAATAATTTAATATTAAAAAACAAACGCGCGTAAGCCTTTAGAAAAATAAGGCTGTTTTTCAAATTTGTTTTCACTGCGACGGTAATGAGGGCGACTTCTATTTGCATAAATGAATTAAAACTAACAACTATTCCTAGGGAGAAGCATTTTTCAGCAAGACTTAGCTTCGTTAGCTTCCCCTTCACGTTTTACAATTAAATTTATTTGGGTCTCCGGAGGTGAGAATTGTAAAGGTTCTTTCGTGACCTCCAAACGTGGAAATGTCTACAAGAATTCTAAATACGTTATGCTGTTACAGGTGTTGATTTAAGCTTTTTGCGAGACGAAAACTTTTGTAATGGCAACTTTTTACTTTACGTTTTAATAACAAATTCGTTTTTGGACTAACTTTGCAAATTTGAAAACATAATTACATGTATTAGAGTATAATAAAGTACTCTTAGAGATTTGTAGAAGTTATATTATTGGGTAATATTACTGGTTAAGTACATTTAAATTTTAAATCGTGGCCACGAGGGCACACGGCTCCTGTAAAGCACCCGAAACATAGTAACATTATTCAGAAATTTAAAAATAATTTATACAAACTCACAAAACTATAGTAGTGGTTTTCGAACACTTCGTTGAATTACTATAATGGATAACTAACTATGCAATAGTTTACGACACCCAACTTCGGACGTAAAACTTAGTGACACGGGCGAATTTAATTATGCTAATGGCTTACTTCGAGTGTTCCCAATCTCATGATTTATTCTTAATCTAATGTGATGTAGGAAATCGGCCCTTCCACCAAAGACCGACTCGATATCTACGTACTTGAAGAAAAAAATATATAGAAATTTTCGTATTTGATTCCTAATCTGTAGACTAAATATTATTATAAAATATTGGGTACTTTTTTAAATGAAACACTTTTAAATACTGTCTATAGTTTACGCGAGTAGTACACATTTTAATAAAACATTTTAACGGTTTAAAACGCGATATATTAGTTAAACTTATTTGAAAATGATTCTTGACTTCGTCCCGACGTTTCGGATGCTTGTTCACGGGGAGACTGACGCGGCTGCTAAAACGTCGGCCCGAAGTTAACGATTTTCAAATAAGTTTAACTAATATATCGCGTTTTAAACCGTTAAAGTGTTTTATTTAAACGTGTATTGGTTAGAGCATACTCACCTATCGAGGAGGGCTTTAGGCTATGAAACATCGATGCGAAGAAACAGCGGGTAACGTGAAAAATACGAGGAAAAGTTTTTCATTCCTGTCGGTTTCCGTTGCGTACGCTATGAAAACGATTCAAAATACCCAAAAATGGAATGAATCACTCTTTAAATGAGTTCAAATAATGTCCGCGAATCGGTCTATCTTTTAAGATTAACTTGCAAGAACGACGGGAAGCGGAGGACGCCGTGATGTAAAATCAGTCTAAAGATAAGGCAAATAATACGATCTCTCTACGTAGAAAACGTTATAATACATTTATGAAAGACTGATTCCGAAATTTGATATTGTTTAATTAGCTTGTGAAGTGAAAGGTCTGCATCAAGAAAACGGCTGAAGTTCGAGTGACGAGGGTCACTTCTGCTCAACGAACTTTTTAATTTAATCCGAGCTTTTGATGTATAGCCCGGCTTATTGGGATCGTATGAAAATAACTGATGCATTATTTATTTTTAAAATTTTCATTTCCCTTGACACAGGTGAGTTTTTGCCGTCGATTTATTGGTATTTATTTTAATTATCATTTTTGTGAACTGAAAACGGCGTAAAGTATATAAATAAAAAAAGTATTTTGATGGAAAGACGTTGTTTAATTTTTTTATCTGTTTAAATATGTTCAAAAACTTATTTACAAATTATTTCAACTACGGCCCGACACGTCTGATCGAGTGCATCAGCCATGGTCAGGAGACGTCGGGCCGAAGTTAAAATAATTTGTAAATAAGTTTAACCAATACATTTCGCGTTTCGAACGGTTAAAGTGTTTAACTTAAATGTGTACTACTCGCATAAACTACAGACAGTATTTAAAGATGTTGTTTATTTCTGCCCTGTTTTTAATGAATCGGCAAAACAAAATAAACAATTTAGATATAGGCTTCAAGATTGCTACTATTGTTTCGAGTCTGGGGTTTGATCACATAACTGACACAGAAATGAGAAATGTACTTGCCCCATGCTTAATAAAGGATTATAAGTTTACCTTACAATAGATATCCTTTTAGTATAATTGTTTAATAGTCTTCAGCAATAGAATTTAAGTTGTTCGGTTTTCACACTGAGATGTAACTAAGCAGATTATTTGACGCCATGTTGTCGTTTTGTATGCTTTTAAATGCGGGCATGATTTTTAGTAAAACTTTAACATTTTACGGCGACAGTTTTCCAAACTAACATTGAAGCGAAAGGTAAAATGTGCAAACTATAAATATAAAAAGCCGGCAACACTTTCCCTGAAAATATTTATTAAATAGCGTTTGCCAGTTTTAGTATAAAAGAGATTCGACCTTCATTTCAACCATTTTCTTTCAGTTTTGGGACTACGTTATAAATTTAATGTAAAACTGTTTACAGTAGAATAAAATGAATCCAAATGCCTAATAATTGTAAAGGGTATGTTTGTTGTGGTTCTTTAGCAATTAAGATTTTAAATAAATATATGGGACACGTGTCAGAAAATATAACTCAAACTGAAGAGACTGATACCGCAACGCGTTATGTTACGTTACGTAAAGCGTTACGGTGCAATATTTGTCAAAATATTACAACGTCCACAGAATATTGAAAATTTGGCGTATGGACCCGGGAGGACGAGCTTGTTCCTCAATTGCATTGCGTAACAGCGGCTGCATGCAACCACACACTGGCTTTTTACCGCTGAATTACTATAGTTTCGGTTGAATAATCACGTGTTTTCCGATAGAAAACAACAACAAAGGGCTCGGTTCCATCG